CAGATTGTATCCATAATTTCTTATTTGTCTTATTTTATTTTTTTTAAGAATAGGTAGATACAAGTTATGTAAGTTATGTAATTGAAATAAAACAAACGTCTTGTTTGTTTAAAGTGTCGACTCAAACTGAGACTCTTTATTCATTTTCTTATTCTCACTTACTTATTACTTCTTATTACTTCTTATTACTTCTTACTTGGGGAATATGGGAATAAGGGAATGTGGGTTTCGGGAAGGGTTGGTTGGGGAACTTGTTCTAACTGGGGAACCTGTTCTAACTCCTCCCTTGTTAAGCTGGCAAGTCCCTTTGACAGCCTTCTACGAACTATGATGACTGCCATTATTACTATGAGGATAATAATAATAGTGGTAGTTGTAAATCCTGTTCCAATTATGAAATTGTTAATCATTTCTTGGTTGTCTTGCATCGCTTTCATTTGTTTCCTGTTTTCAACATGTAAGTCTTGTATGTCATGTAGTTCTTTCAACGGCTCGATGTTTCTCTGTTGAATTATATTCTCCATAAATGGGAATATTTCAATAGGTTCCTGGAAAACGAAGTCGGTATTTTCGTAGACTTCGTTGTTCAACGATATTGTACAATTCTTGAAGACCACAAGAAGGGGTCCTTGCACCGTGTGGTTCGCTGCACCACACGAGTTAATTAATTTCATTGGTTTCGTGTCCTTGATGATGATTGTCCCCGCTTGTATGACTTTTATTTCTGAGGTTCGTTTTGCTTCCTTGAAGACGCAATTGCTCTGTTTGTCACGAGCAATTGCGGGTACACATTGATTTTCGCTTATGTCTTCGAGTTGCCCTTGTTTGCATATTGTATTTTGTAGCGTATTAAAGCATTCCCCATGAATAGCATACGTTTTCTGATCTTGAAGAAGTATTTCTGCAAAGTCTACCTTGATGATTTTGGAGTTGACCGGGAGTGGCTCTAGATGGATTCTTATGAAGTTTCCCTCAACTTGTGGAATTTCGACAATGTAGTGGATTTCATTTGCGATGTATTTTACTGATGGTTTAATGTAGTTTAGGGAATTATGTAAGGAGGGGATTGATAGATTCTGATTACTTAATGTATCGAAAATATATGAAATTTCTTTTTCATCAAAAATGTTCTTAGAAGCAATGTTAGATTTTGCTAATGCAATAGCGTCAGTAATACTATCAATTTTGTCTTTAACTAAATCAATGTTGAAAATTAAATTTACTATATCCAATGATTCCAAAGTGGAATTTAAAATTTTTGAAACAGAAGTTCTTAAGATTTTAGCCATCTCATTTATTTTATCTTCAAATACCCTGTTTGTTTCTAGCTGTATGTTGTTATTTCTTATCAGTTCCCTATTCTTGATCTTAAGTTTATAAATTTCGTTTTCCCATCGTTTTGCGTCGTCAGCGTCAGGGTTACCAGCTAACCATTTTATTCCAGAACCCAACGTCTCCCACGCGCGTTTGGTTCTTCTTTTGGGTTTCAAATTATCAAAAGATTTCTCCAAAGTAAACAATTTGGCTTTTAAAATATTAGCCATACTATTTTCTAAATTCATTTTTTTTACAATTTGGTTAATTTCGATTAATGTAATTTCAAAATTTTGAAGTTTAATAACGTGGGTGAGCTGGTAAGTTCCTTTTTGCACGAATGCTGTTCCTTTCTTCATTTTTAACAGCCCTGGGTTTGAAGACAAGTCGAGAATATGAATGTCTGCATAAATGAGTCCTACTAAAAGCCTAAAATTAAATGAAGGGTTAATGTAATTGTAAAATTAGGTTGAGAAACTTTTTCTTGTTGTCTCAAGTGTTGTAAAAGTTTCTCTTTGTTAGTGGTATTAGAAAAAAAAATTTATATAATGTTAGATAAATGTTAATCATTAATTCTTTTGAGATTTTCCTTATGCAATTTTCTGTTGCTACTATCAAAAAAGGTTTTATTATTATTCTGAAGTACTTTGACTGGTTTATATGCATCTTCTGTCTTCGAGCGTATGCCCTGACGAGCTACATATACAGTTTCGTCTACCTTTAATTCTGGTTCTTTTTCACGACCTTTGTTGATAGTTTGCAGTTCTTTTTCTTTTTTCATAAGCTGAAGTATAACCTCATCGTACACCTTATCTCTATTAGCCAATATTGCCATTGGATCAAGAGGCCTTTCCTCATTATTTTTTATTCCGAAGAAAGCCTCCTTGGGCGTCATTTTGGTGACGACATGGATTGAGTTATTATAAAGAGAGACCGATAATAAGAAAATTTCTTTTGTTTGTAGATCAGTATGTTTGCTTTTTATGCATCTAAAAATTTCAGCAATTGTGGAATGAAAACGCTCAACGATACCATTTACTTCGCTTCTATTTGTTGGAGTGTAATACGTTTCTATGCCCAAACTTTCAAGGAGTCCTCTAATTTCTATACTTTTAAGAGAAGGCTCGTTATCAGACACAATAAGCTTGGGCTGGCCAAATGTGCTAAAAAGCTTAATCAGACCTCTTTTCACATCTGCTATAGCTCTAGATTTTATGGGAATAAGCATGCCGTAACGAGATAATTTGTCAACAACGGAAAGGAATCGAATTTGTCCGGATATAAAAATGTCAATGTGTATAATGTCCAAGGGTTGTTTGGGTATGGGTGTGCTGGCTATAATTAATTTGTAGGGTTTTCGATCGTACTTTGCTTTTTTGCAGCAACTGCAAAGATTGATGAATTTTTTTATTTTCGAATGCATTTTAGGGAAATAAAATTCTTTTGAAATAACTGCGAAATTTTCTCTAGATCCACGATGGGCTCTTTTATGAACTTTTTCGATGATAGCGTCTTGTTCTAGCTCATTCTTAACATCATTTAATAAAATTTGAGACATAACAATTTTGAAAGATTTTTGATTTGATAAGAATTTTCTATACACTTTTTGTATTAAGGATATGACACTTTCAGGACATTGTATGCAATTAACTCTTTTATCATCTAAGTGGTTTCTAAATGTTTTAAGTATTTTGTTTTCATCAAATGACTCACTAGAAATCGTAACTCTTATTATTTTGGGGAAAATACTTTCGACTTTTTGTTGGTCTGTTTTGCCTAGTTGAAAAATAATTTGATTAGAAAATGAGTTGATAGGTTTTTCCGTCATTGGGATGTATTGGGAATCGTCCGTGTCTGCCGAATGAGTCGTGACATCATCTTGCAAGCTCGCGTTATTCTTCATTGATAGTCCGGTCATACTACATATATTTCCTTCTATGGATCTTATTCTAGAAAGTCCGTCAGCTACTACGTTTTGTGAGCCTGGTTTATGAATAATTTCGTAGTCATATTCTTCGAGTCTAAGTCTCCAACGCAGAAGTCTTCCGCTCGTTCCACTAATATTTTCGACATATTGTAAAGGCTTATGATCGGTTACGAGAGTGAATTTTCGGCCGTAAAGATATGGTCTGAAATTTTTGCAAGCTTCCACGATTGCTAGCAGTTCCTTTTCAATAATCGGATAGTTAGTTTCGCTTGCTTGAAGTGTTCGAGAGTAAAAAGCAATCGGTTTATCCCTTCCAATAGGGCCCTGAGAAAGGACACTTCCAATCGCGTAGTCACTCGAATCACAAGTAACATTGAAAGGTTTACTAAAGTCGGGGTATTGCAGTATATGACTACTGCATAAAAGATTTTTGCATTTTTCGAAGGTGCTTATAAATTCTTTAGTATGCGTAAATGGTTGATCTTTCTTTAGCATAGTTGTGAGAGGTTTAACAATTTTTGCAAAGTCCCTAATGAATCTTCTGTAGTATCCTAAAAGCCCGAGAAACCCTCTTAATTCTTTTTCGTTATTTGGTAGGGGCCAATTTTTTATTGATTCAATTTTCTTTTCGTTTGGCTTGACTCCTTCCGGAGTAACGATATGCCCTAAAAATTCGACTTCATGTCTCAAAAATTCCGATTTATCTAACTGAATTTTTAAATTGTTTTTATTAAGAATTTGGAAAATTTCTTTTAAATCTTGGATGTGTTGCTGTAAAGAGGATGAAAAAATAATAATGTCGTCTAAGTAGACTAAACAATTTTTCCCTATTTGCTCTCTTAGAATATTATCCATTGCTCGTTGAAACGTGGCTGGAGCATTTTTCATTCCCATAGGCATTTTTAAAAATTCATAATGCCCTCTTTCAACTGTGAAAGCCGTTTTTTCTATATGTTTGGGATCGACCTCGATTTGATAAAAACCTGAAGCTAGATCAAGAGTTGTAAAGTATGATGCATGCCCTAATCTATCGAGAATGTCAGTGATATTTGGTATTGGGTATTTATCATCAATGGTTTTTTTATTAAGAGCTCTATAGTCTATGACAAGCCGCCATTTCTTTGTATTTGATGCATCAGCTTTTTTTTCGACCACCCATACTGGAGCTGAGTATGGTGAAATGGAGTGTTGGATTATTCCAGTATCTAACATTTTCTTTATTTGTTTTTGAATCTCGTCTTTCAAAGCAAATGGATATCTGTAATTTTTTGCGTGAACGGGAATATCATCATACGTATTTACTTGGTGTTTAATAGCATTCGTGAAAGTTAATTTATTATCTTTTAGATAGAAACAATTTTGGTTTAAAGTAATAACTTTGAGCAACGCTTCTTTTTCTTCTTTATTTAGATGATTTAATCTCAATTGATTAAACAAGTCTTCGTTCAAAGGTGAAATTTTTTCACAAAAGTCTGGAAGACCAGTCTCAAAGTTATTTAAATGTACATTGATATAGTTAAAGGGAATTGAGACTTTTATATTACTTAAATTTGAGAACATTATTGGGGCTTCCCCCTCTGAGGCATGATATAAGCCCGCAAGGGCACACACGGAGTCTGTAATCATAATGTTTTCATTCAAAAGAAAATCACCATCGGGAATGGTGACAAGGGTCGATAATGGCTTCGTTTCTAGGGAGTTTAATTCAATTTTGTTAGTACACGGAAATTTCCGCTTCATTTTTATTGTTAAACCGGGGAAAATTAATTTATTTTCCTTACAATTAATGACGGCATTGTTCTTTTGTAGGAATTCGTATCCTAAAAGTCCGTCAAAAAATTCATGAAAGTGAAAAAGATAAAAAATTTCTGCTTTTGAAAAATTATACTCTGGGAATACATTTATTTTTATAGATTTATTTAATGAAAATTTTCCGTTAACGGTCGATACGATATGGTTAGCTTCTTTTATAAACTCGGTTTTTGTATGTTCTGGTTTTATATAGCTTTTATTCGACCCGGTGTCGATTAAAAACTTTAAACTCCAGTTCTTCGGATTTTTGTTCGTATTCATTAGCATCGTTTTCGAATTGTTCAACCTCATTGTTTTCGTAATTATTAAAANGTTAATTAATGTACGAACACGGAAAGTATACTTTAGCCATTGAAATTTTAAATCAAAACAACAATTTATTATAAATTGAGAAATTTTTGGTTGAATGTATTCTTAATTTTTTTTTCTCATTTTTTTTGTTATTTTTTTTTCTTAATTATCATTTTTCCTATTTTTATCAAAAATATCTGCTGTTTTATTATTTAATTCAAAGGGAGAAATATTTAAAACATTTAAAAAAACTTAAAACTTTTATTATTTATGAAAAAACCTAAATTATTTAATTTATTAGGAACATTTGCTGCTACGTTTGCCTATGAGTATAATCCCGGTAACAGCGATTACAGACCTGAAAACTGGGCCCAAATGGATAGTCCAAACAATATCCAGTGTGATTGGGCGAATCAAAGTCCAATTGATCTTCAAACGCAATTTGTTCTTATACAATCAAGAGCAAATTCTCTTTCGATTACGAATCTCAGAACAATGCCAGAAAATGTTGTTTTAACAAATGTAGGACATGGTGCAGAAATTTCGTTTGAATTTGCCAATAATGATAATATGGTAGTTACTGGTGGGCCTTTAAATGATCAATTTATAGTAGCTCAAGCCCAATGGCATTGGGGTACAGCGGATTGCGCTGGAAGTGAACATATGCTCAATTCTCAAAGATATTCAGCAGAAGTACACATCGTAACATACAACTCAAAATATGGTGAATTAAATCCTTCAATTTAAAATTTAAGTAATTTCACAAAACATTTGCTTTAAATAGCATCACTTGAAGACGCAGCAGATAAATATGACGGTCTTGCTGTCTTAGGATTTCTCTATGAGGTGAAGATTATTTTAGCATTTTGAACTTTAAAAAATAAAAAAATTCTCCACAGGTTGACGAGGCTGCAAACTCAGATTTTCCACAATCAGTTCAAACTAGCCTTGGAGGAATTACATTCGGATGCGACTCTACTACTGTCTCTCCATTTCCATTAATTGATCTGTTCAGAACTGAATTCTTTGATTATATAGCTTACAGCGGTTCACTGACAACACCACCTTGTTATCAGACCGTGCAATGGATGGTTTCAACTAAACCCTTGAAAATATGGTCATCCGATTTAGATGCACTCCGTTCTATAAACGATGTAAATGGATCCCCACTTCTTCGTAATTTCCGACCATGTCAAAATAGCTATAGTCGTGCTTTGAATGGATATTATCTATAAATTAATATCCTTCGGAATTGAAAAACAAAATTCCAACATCTGTTTTGTTGCATATTTGAACAACCTGTAATCTAATATGACGACTTTTCAACAAAAGCGTGTTCACTTATTCCAGAGATAATAAAATAATTGACATGCTGCTGAAAAATAAATGTTTTGGTTTCTTGTTTAAATGTTATGCTTGAATTTGCCGCTTAAGCTCCATTGCACAAAGGAATTCGAATTGTGAACGATGCTGTTTATTTTTTAAAAAGTGGGGATAAGAGAAGTTGAAATATTAGTTTGTTCAAAAAGCTTACAGCAGTCAATTTAACATCAGACAGCTTACCGGACGAAGCTTTTTGTTGAAGTTTTTATAAATTCACTCGTGTGCCGTTCATTCCATTGCACAATTAAAAGTTTCCCTCTTGAGTGATTTTATAGTCTATGACAAGCCGCCATTTCTTTGTATTCGATGCATCAGCTTTTTTTTCGACCACCCATACTGGAGCTGAGTATGGTGAAATGGAATGTTGGATTATTCCAGTATCTAACATTTTCTTTATTTGTTTTTGAATCTCGTCTTTCAAAGCAAATGGATATCTGTAATTTTTTGCGTGAACGGGAATATCATCATACGTATTTACTTGGTGTTTAATAGCATTCGTGAAAGTTAATTTATTATCTTTTAGATAGAAACAATTTTGGTTTAAAGTAATAACTTTGAGCAACGCTTCTTTTTCTTCTTTATTTAGATGATTTAATCTCAATTGATTAAACAAGTCTTCGTTCAAAGGTGAAATTTTTTCACAAAAGTCTGGAAGACCAGTCTCAAAGTTATTTAAATGTACATTGATATAGTTAAAGGGAATTGAGACTTTTATATTACTTAAATTTGAGAACATTATTGGGGCTTCCCCCTCTGAGGCATGGTATAAGCCCGCAAGGGCACACACGGAGTCTGTAATCATAATGTTTCCATTCAAAAGAAAATCACCATCGGGAATGGTGACAAGGGTCGATAAAGGCTTCGTTTCTAGGGAGTTTAATTCAATTTTGTTAGTACACGGAAATTTCCGCTTCATTTTTATTGTTAAACCGGGGAAAATTAATTTATTTTCCTTACAATTAATGACGGCATTGTTCTTTTGTAGGAATTCGTATCCTAAAAGTCCGTCAAAAAATTCATGAAAGTGAAAAAGATAAAAAATTTCTGCTTTTGAAAAATTATACTCTGGGAATACATTTATTTTTATAGATTTATTTAATGAAAATTTTCCGTTAACGGTCGATACGATATGGTTAGCTTTTTTTATAAACTCGGTTTTCGTATGTTCTGGTTTTATATAGCTTTTATTCGACCCGGTGTCGATTAAAAACTTTAAACATTTTTCTTTTGATTTTAGTTCTATGTATGGGACGCAATCAAACATTTCTATGTTTGATCCGCGTCGAAACCCCCCAGACAAAAATCCAGTTCTTCGGATTTTTGTTCGCATTCATTAGCATCGTTTTCGAAATATTCAACCTCATTATTTTCGTAATTGTTAAAATTTTCTTCGTAACTCTCGATATTTGTAAGTTGATCATTTCGCATACGAATCGATTCGTTTGCTTGTTGGAATGAACGACGTGAACGCATAGAAGCGTCCACATCCATAGGAATAGGTTGCTGAATAATTGGTTGTTGAACGTTTGGTTGTTGGACGTTGGTTTGTGGACGAAATTGTGGACGAAATTGTGGACGGAAATTCGAATTATATGCTGGTCGAGGCTGACCATAATTTTGATTATTAGTTATTTTTGCCATGTCAGGATTTTTAAAATTAGGAGTAAAATTGTTTGAAGTGAAATTACTTTTATCAGAGTATCTGATACCAGAATTGCCAGGCAAACGATAAGAATTATAAGATTGAGCTGGTTTAGAGGCGTCTGAAAATTTCTTTGCGAGAGTGTTCTTTGACCTGATACGCGCATCGGCCATAAACTGTGTTTCCGCAGCTCGAAAAGCAGCAACTAGTGTTGCTGGATTCGCATTTCTAGTTAATGCTGAGTATGGGTAATTCAACCCATCAATAAATGCGTTCTTTGTTAATTGAGAAGCGAAATGTGTGACCGCGTTGGTATGCCCTTCGTACCGGGGTTCAGCAGAAATTTTCTGATTAATTTGTGCCGTTAATTCTGACACCTCTTTATAGAAATCCAGTACAGACCGGTAACCTTGTTTTAAATAGGGAATGCCTTGACATAAGGTCGACAAATCTCTAGGGTCTTGGAAGTATTCTCTCAATGTTTCACGAATATCATCCCAGTTGTTCGCCGTGTTATTCTGATTAAGCGCGTCACTTGCTTTGCCGATAATTTTATTCCTGATTTTTCGAAGCCAGTCTCGCCAAAAAGGTTCCTGATGAAAGGCTCGAAAACCCTCAACGATGTCATGTCATCCACCTGGTCAATCCATTCTTTAAGCTTCTTTGAATCGCCATCAAATTCTGGCAACAACTTGATGTTGTCAGGGACCTTGTTTGCGTTGATTATTTGATTGATGTATTGTGCTCGTCGGAGCTCCATTTGTTCCATTTCCCCTTGCTGAGCCTGCTGCCGCTGTCGAAGCTGTTCTTCAGCAATTCTCAATTCTTCATGAATGTTGTCTAAACTCATTATCTAAAATAAACTTCAAGTAACAGATCCCTAAAATGTTAATGAAAAATTTTATTGTTTATGTTAGTGAATGAAGCAATGTTATTGAGCCCAATGGAACAAATAAAACAAAGAAATTTCAAAGTGTCTTTTCAAGACGCAGAGAAAATCTCTGAAATTATTTTCTTTGTAACTTTTTCCTTTCTGCTTATTTTTTTTCCTTCAGCTCATTCGTAAAAGTGAATCTTATTTCAAAAAGGGGAAAAAAAAATGCAAATGTAATTATTTATTTTGTGTACTGAACGGAAAGTTTTATCTTTTGCTGAAGACTCAAAAATCAACGGGAAAAGGGCATCAAGTTTCGTCTGGAAGAGTGAAACTTGATAATTTTGTTTACATAAACTAAATTCTTTAACTACTTAGGTTTGATAAATTTTTCTTTCTATGCACACGTAAATCGTTTTCTGTTCTTATCTTATAAAAATATTTTTAATTGAAATTGATAAATTTCTGTTTTCTACACACAGTTTTTACCACATATAATGATTTTCTTTCTTATTTTCACACATTTATTTTCACTATGTAACTTTCTTTGTCATAAAATATTTTCTTACCAAATTATTAGGCTCGGTGTCTTCATGTTCCGATATTCCGTCGGATCTCAGAGATTCGCAAACTGTACTCAATTTAAACCAATTCGTTTAAAGCAGCAATGTGCGGTGACAGTCAATTAGTACGTTTCCCTACACAAAGATAAACCTTGACCTCCGACTGCGCCAGTTAAGTAATAATAAAAATAAAACGTCTTGCTTTGATAAAATACAGACTAAAAACTGAAACTCTTTATTAATTTTCTCTTTTAGCTTTTGCTTCTTATTTGTTTTCTCTTTTAATTTTTGCTTCTTAAGTATTTTATTTCTTATCCTCTATCCGTGAAGGGATAATGGAACTTGTTCTAACTTACATAATCTAATCTAATGTCTATAATACTTGCTGTAATCCTACAATTAATTGAAAAATATCATTCAAGTTATTTACATCAATTTTAACTAATTTTTTAATTAACTTAACATTTCCTTCTATCCTTCTAAAAAGTTTTTATCCGTTCGATTTTAAGTTATTCATTCTACTTGTGTAAAGTTAGATACACAAATTCTGAACGCTTAGAATTGAGCTAACCAGCTGGTTTTGTTTCACATTTCTGATTAATTATTCACCATTTGTATACAGTCAAACTTTATTAATCTCGATGATGGTGAAGTTTTCATCAATTGATGGGTTAAGCATCAGACTAAATAATTAGGTGTTTGTTCAATTAGAACTATAACTTTAACATTTAAACTGCTTCAATCGCCATTACATGAAACTTTTTTTATTTGGTTTGTTTAGCAAAGCTAACAATTGAGTTGAAGGAACATTCGATAATAAAATATCTTGAACAATTCATAATTCTTTTTAATGAAGTAACCGAAGTAGATGGCATGGAAAAAATAACATTTTTAAATGGCGATTGAAACTTTAGTTGAACAGTTTCATGTCTTAACAGTTATGGCAATGATAAAGCTCGCGATTCATGTTCGCGAATTTATTTTTCATTCTCATGGAAGACAAAATTGAACAAAGGAATGATTTAAGACAACGGTGGATCTTCACTTTCACTCATCTGAATCCTTTTGATTTGTACATCGTCGTAAGCTATTGTGAAAACACTTTTCTTATCAGCAATTCGATTACGTTTCCCATGAAGCAATGAATTCATAGCAATACCAGAATCATGATCGTCTTCATGCTGACTCGGTTGCTGTTGCTGATGATGTTGTTGCATCGATGCATTCATCATAGTCGTAGTTGTGGTTGTTGTGGTAGTAATGTTGGGATTTGAAGCTCCATTCTGCTCAATCGGAATCTTAATCGTTGTTGTAGTTTTTGAAATTTCATTTTCTTTGATGGGAGAAGCATTTGGCTTATATTTTATAGTTATTTTAGGATCTGAGTGTGTAGGCGGAGTATTAGGATACATGTAATGAGGAAGTTTAACTGGAGGCTGTGGAATGTTTGGCTGTAGCGAATATTCGTGTTCGAATCTGTGCTCTGAATATTGAAGCAGTGGATGATTTAATGCATCGCCAAGTTGAGTTCGTGACTCGACTTTCCGTGCCATTTCGAGATCCTCTTTTAAAAGGCGTGCGGCTTCTTTTGATGGCGTATTACGTGGCATTGGTTCAGGTCTTGATTTGTCATCTAATTTCTCTTGCGAACGAACAATATTTTTTCTTTTTGCCTTGACCGGTGGAACTTTACTCGTCGTTTCCTTGTTCTTCGAATACCATTCCATGTAGCGTGGCACAGCTTTTGTATCAGGCATGTCATGGTTTTTACTGAATGTTCGTTGTCTTTCCATTGGTGGTCGAGGTGCTTGAGCTTTGGGAATTTTCGATGGTTCGCTTTCAATCTTGAATGACTTGAATTGTCGTTTATCATCTTGAATTCTAATACCACGACGAATAGCTGGAGTTGGCGGAACGCTTTCAGTCATGCGACGTTTCTCGTCATCATTTATCCGATCTTCAAGTTCATAATCGTTCTCCAAACTATCAGCTGAATAATAATTTTTATGCAAAATCACTTCATTCTCGGATCCATCGGTATCTTCAATATAATATTTAATGTTTTTTGTTGACTTAGCTTTTATGTTTGGAACAATTTCGCCTTCGTCAAGTGAGTCATTAATGTCGTGAAGAATTTTCTCTTGAAGCATTCGATGTCGATCACTTGCAATTTTAGCACGACGTAAATTCGAAGCTCTCGTTTCGCGATGTTCTACTCGAACTGATCGTTTACTTCCATCTTCCATTTCTTCTTGAATTGGTGTTCGAATTTTTCTTTTCACCGATTCAACAGTGACAACTTTTCGTTGAGTGTTCGCTTGATCCTTATGCTTTCCTTTCTTACGATGTCGTCGACGTTTAATCCAATAAATACCATTTGGACTATTTGGTGGACTATAACGAACATATTCGTATTCATCTTCAGACATTGAGTCATCATTTTCACTTCGTGTTCGTCTACGAACAAGCGAAGATTTTGAACCATTCATCTCATTCCATGGCTCAGTTTGAACAGCAATTTCACAATCTGTTTGTGTTTGAGCAGCTGTAGTTAAAGAGTGACATGGAAGACTTTGAGTTTCGAGGGCATTCTCATGTTCTTTATATTTCTCTTCAAGCTTTTCTTTTTCAAGTAAAATTTGTCGTAATAAAGCATTTTGTTGCTTAAGAGAATTTTCAAGTTCTTGTTGAATTACAAGCGATTGATTGGATACAGCATGAGTCATTTCTGTGTCGACTAGTTTAACATCTTTCTGAGTCTGTTGCTGTGTCTCCCGCTTCTGTTTCTCAACGTTGCTTTCATTCACTTCATTGGGTAACGTCTGAACAAATGTCGTGTTGGGAATAACTTGATAATGTTCACGAATGATTTGCTTTCCATTTGCTTGTTCTTCTATAAAACGACGCATCAAAATCTCTTTTCCACTGCCTTCAACAAGAACATATTGAGGTGGGTTGATGTTTCGTTGTGGAACATTGATATAAAGATTGTCGTTGCTTCCACCTTGACCACCTCGTGTAATCAATCGGAGAATCTCAGCATTACCATCTTTTATGAAAAGTTGATCACGGCCACTGATATTTGCTTCTTCTTGTGCTTGTTGTCTTTTAAAACTTGTTCGCCTTTCATATTCGATGTCACTTCCACGATCCATTTCATGTCTGCGAATCGAATCTTCATCAATTTGATTGAGCGGAGCGTTTAGTGTATCTTTAGCGTTGATGTGTTTAATGCTTGTGTAATCGTCTTCCATTATTTCTTCATTATATATATGAGTGTTATCCAGTTTTATAGACTTTTTCTGGGTAGTTTCTTTGGTTGTTTCAGTTTCATTACTAGAAGAAAAGCAAAGATTATAATCATTAAATCACATTTGTTCATGTCTGACAACTTGAGCAATTCATCTTACATAATATTAACTGTTTCCTTGTCTTCATTAACTTTAATATTAAGTTTTCCACTTTCATTATCTTCGTTGTCAATTTGTGCTGCTGGATTGTCGATGCCTAATTTTTGGTCAGAGTATCCTCTCTTACTAAACTCCCATCGTGTAGGTTTCGTTCTTGAATCTGCCGACCTCTCCGTTGACCATGCTTCTCTCCGTCCCATCCATTCGGCGACCTATGAAAATAAAAATCATCTTTATAATCTCGTTTCAAACTTATTGCAAAATTATCTTGAATTCAGCGATGTAGTCAAATCATATACCACGATGAATTCAATGCAATATTAATACACAACTTATTAGTAAAGTAAAGAAAGAGTTTAGTAATAATGAACATAGAGAAGTGAAGCTTAAGTGAAGTATGTAATTTAAAGAATAGTGTAGCATAACTAAGATTAATTACAATAATTTTAAAAATATACCTGAACGGATTTCGTTTGTTTCCCGATTGGATGTTCTCTATGAACGAGATTAACATCATCTTCACTATTGACTCTAAATCTCTTTCTACAAGAGAGAAAAAAAATAAAGAAAACAGGATATTTAATGGTAAAACATTTGTTCTTGATTGTGTAATCATGACCAATCGAAACCGGTATAAAGTTGGGACTTTAGTATGTCGAAAGATAAAATATTGAAGTGATTTTCAAAAAAGATTTTTATTTGATTGCTGTCTTTGTAAAAAAATTTCGTAATATTTTAACTTTCAACAGATTTTCAGTCCTACGTAAAATCAAATAAAATATAGAAAGGGTGAGCGAATAAATATACAAAAACCTTAATTAAAAGAATAAAAATGAATGATAAAACAAATACCCAAATAACCATGAAACCATGTTAGTTGCTTGTTAGTTGGCGAGCGGAAAATTAGCCAATGTTAGTTATGATTGTTTACAGTTTAAAAACGTTACCTTGGTGCAGCGTAGAGTGGACACCACGAGCATATGCAGCATAAAAGCAGTGTTAAAATTCCAAGAGCAAGAAGAAGGGCTAAGAAGATGAGTAGCCAGAAGAGAACGCGATTCTCTGCTTTATATGCGCTCTGTAATAGACAAAAATAATGATTTTCATTATCGGTTTGTATCGGCGAACTGCTTTTGAAAAGGCGTTTGAAATAATTTATGCTTACCGCATCTTCGTGAACGACGATTCCCTGATTACTGCCTTGCATTAGCCGCTTTTGCATTTCAGCAACATCAACGATCGTATCAGTATCATAAATCACAGTTGCAGTCACAATACTCTTCTCTTCTCGCCGATTTCCTGGATCGATAACGCCATTGATATTGTCTATATATGGCTTAACGTCTCTTATAATCACACGTCCACCAGTTAAGTCACTTAAAGATTTCTCCAAGTTTTGTCGATCAGGATTATAACCAGGCACAAGGAACGAGACTGCCCTTGTGCGACTTTCTGGCGGATAAATTCTTACAGTTGTTGTTGAGAATCTTACGGGTACGCCCAGATCAAAAGCTCTTGCAGTCAACACGAAAACATCAGTTTCAGGCTTATTACTTTCTTGTCGCTTGTTTCGATTCGTTAATGGCTCACGAAGCATAAGTTGTCCAGTGATTTCATTCAAGAAAAATTTATTCTCATAATTTCCATGAATAATCTCATAACGAACAATGTTATTAGGTTCCTCGGCATCAGCATCTGTTGCTTTGATGTATGCTGGTATCGTGAAATTTCTGAGATCAGTTGTCAGAATGAACTCGTAAAGTGCTTTTTCAAAAACTGGCGTTTCATCATTGACGTCGATTAATTGCAAGACCAAAGGGACCTGATGAAATTAAAGAAAAGTAATTCGGCATAAATATTTCGCATATTTAATAATTAAAAGTTTATGTAAGATTAATGTCTTAAAAGAACCTTACGATAAAAGTAGAAAACAATTAAGAAATCAGGTCATTGACTAACTATCAGTCATTTTTAAATATTTCAACAATTTCTTACTTCTGCACGATTTCCAATTCCGTCATCGTCACGAGCTTCTACATACAAATGATATTCGGGCATTTTTTCGCGATCGAAGCCATGATTATTTGTCGAAACGGTAATTATTCCACTAGCGGCATCTAAATTGAGTGAAGTATTTAAATAGCCCAAGATTTGAGTGTAACGTATCCGTCCACCAGTTCCCGTATCGACGTCTTCTGCGTGCACTTGTACCACTCGAGTTCCGGCAGTCATGTTTTCCGGTAGATCCACACGATATTCCGTTTGTTCAAATATGGGTGGATTGTCATTCTTATCGACTATGAACACAGTCACATTGACAATTGCTGATAGATTCGTAGCAGGGCCAAGCTCTTGTGCCAATATCTGTTGTTATGTAACAGAAGAAAAATGAGAATCGAAATGATGCAAACAATCATATTTTGATACTTACTTGAAACGACAATGATGTAAACTCTTCAAAATCGAGCATATTATTATCACGAACTCGAATAATGAAATTGGCCTTTCGCTCTGCAACATTTGGAAAGATCTCAAATGTTCCATTGTTGTTGAGTAAGGTGAGTGAGAAAACTCCATTTTTGCCTGCATCGTCGTCACTGACGCGCGTGATGTAAGGTTCCGGGAAAACCAATGTTGTGCCCGTCGGGGAATTTTCATCGATTCTCGTGACATAACTGGCAATAAGAAAGAAATGAAATGAAATTTTGATAATCTGTAATTGTTGTTGCACACTTACTGGTCATTTTCAAAATAGGGTGGTGAATTGCTTCGTTCCGGAAGGAACAAAGCAAGTTTGACGGTTGATGCCATTGCTTGTGGCTCATTACGAGCAACTTTAACTTCCTCAGCAATCACTGTGAGTAGAACGGGATCACCAATGTGCGTAATAGCCGAAATTTCATCTAATGGCCTCACTAATGTTATTTCACCTGCAATCGAAAAAGAATTAAAGCCATGAGAGTTTGTTATAGGTATAATTTCTTTTTATTTTGTCTCGATTAAGCCCCCGCAATGTCTATTAAAAAGAGAAACATAAATAAATTCGTAAGAATCATCAAAAAGAAAGCAAAGAACTGGAAACGAAGAACAATAACAATCATCATTAACTCGTCGAAAGCAGAGAAAGACCAGCGACTATGAGACGATCAAACTAATACCAGAATATCTTATAATTTCGTAAAGGAATGTCCGACCATCGACAGCTTTAAAACTTTTAATCAGATTGAACGAAATCTTATTGACTTCTTCTTAATTACAGTTTTTTTTTTCTGTAAGTCAATGACTTTTTGCACTTACAAGTAAAAGATTGTTGCGATGGAATCTATTTACACATTTTTTACCACCAAAAATCGCTGATTACAGCTTGAAACGACGATTCACAGCCATAAAAGAAAGAAAGAAAAAAGAAGTCATAGGCAATCCCTTCTGAAATCAAATGTTATTGACCGAAAACCGGTAGAGACAATTAATTTTATTACACACCAAAATATCTGTTTCGTGTTTGCTAGCATTTTCGACGCAGATATCATAAAATCGCCAAAAATAAAAATAACATAAGTTAATTTATGCACTTAATGATGGTGTTTGAGTAGAATACGAGCCGATTTTAAAAGAAAGTTACGTGGATAATTCAGCCAAGCCTCGAATAACTTACACGTGATGAAGATCGTTAAACGTCGCATTCATATGAACAACTAAGGTAAAATAGCGGAGTCGTGAGTCAAATCAAAGTAACTGCGAATGGTTATGACGAAATCTACAAGCAGCTTATAATAAGATTTGTGTAGAACATTCATATAAATAGATTGCATGCAATCGAAACCAAAAGTTGTGACTTGAGCGTTTTACCGGTTAATAGTTCGTTGAACCTAGGAAAACAAATCGATAGAAAAAAATCTTTTTGCTTGTAGAAATTCTTTAAATCTAATTGCCTGAATGCTATTGCTTATGACTGTTTAGATTTGCCCCTGATTTTTCACGTTTCTTGTTCTAAATAGCTGAACACGAACGACCGACGTTCGAGGTTCCATGTCAAAATTAGAAGCAATCGATGACAAAGTGAAAGTAAAAAAAACTCATGAAATGAAATGCTTTGCAATTAATTGAAAATTTTCCTTTCCGTTTAAACTGTTTTTATTTTTTAACATCTGGTTTGTTTGCATATGAAAAATTGTTACAAGCTTTTTACCGTCCGAGGTGATGTTTTAAAGACATTCAATGTGCTTTACTCATAAGTAAATCTAACTATTGACTTACTCATAAGAAAGGAAAACAAGTTTAAGTGAGACCACATTTATTTAGCCAGCGACTGTTTCTTTATCAGAAGCATTAAATCTAATTTTATTATGTATTCAGTTTCGCAAGGGTTGTTTCTGTTTTGTGCTTTATGTTCAACTTTATTATGCTAGTTCGGAGCTCGCACAATGTTTCACATATCTGGGTCATATGTAAAGTAAAAATATTATTGATTGGCTTCTCATGTACGTAAACAAAGCTCTCAGCAGGCAAAAAAAAATCATTTTAATCGTAAATTTAAAAGGGGTTTTGAAGTCATAAATATTTTAACACTTTTTTAAGTTTAATAGTCGCACCAAATATGCCTGCAGTCAACAAGGGCTTTTCTTTATTAAGTCGCGTCGATTTCAAAACACCAGAAATAAGTTGTGAGCTATAAAATCAAAGTTGATAACATTTACTTATTTATCGATTTAGTTTTCATGGATTAAAATTCAAAAATCTAGTTTGGAATCAATCAGGAAAAGAAACAAATGTGTTGATTGACTTATGAAGTTTTATTGATAATAAAACAAACATGAATATTAAAGATTGCATGCGAAACAAAAGACAAATTTTAATGTTTATGATTTGATCGTTTGTTTTTAATTTCGCTTTTATTACACGACATTTGAAGATCAAACATTACTCATGGGGCTCCTTAAGGCTATGTTATTCGAGACCTTTTGAATTATATTTCTCTATCATTAATTAAAGGCTATTTCAGGGAGACAAAAACGCAATAAGTATCAAATAGCGGGAACCAGCGGTAAGATATATTAACACTTCACTTTCAAGCCCGATTCTAATCGCGCACTTAAGCGAATAGCACGTAAGAAGATAATGAAGGAGATCAGAAGATTGATGACTTCAATGCTTTTTTTATTCGGACGGAGTAGAAATAAATGAAAGAGTCGCCTGAAGATAGTCAGAACAATCACTTTGAATTTCAATGTGCATGATGTTCCGGAAATCAGAAGCTAATCAGAGAGTGTGAAATCAAAGCGGTGAAGGCCGACGGACTCAGGCAGGAGAGTAGTAAAAGAAAGGTCACCGATTTTCCTCTATTCACATTTCAAATCGATGCCGCAAATAGTAAAAAGACATTTTCGATCGTTTTCCCATGAAATGAAGTAAAGATTCAAAGAGAATTCGAAGAACTTAAGATGAATAGGAAAGCCATAAGAACGAGGCAAAAAGCGACACATGAGAGTCTCTAAATTATAGCACGATTGAAACTTCAACTTAACCCGTTAAACAGTTAACTTTTCTTCTTACATATTGAAGCATTGTTGAATCGATCAATATCATCAATCAATTTAAATCTCACAAGTTCAAAGTCTCCAGGTAGTAGGAAGAGAAAAGCAAACATGAGACAGCTTTAAATTATTGTGTAATTTTCCAACTTCATTTCTTCAATTTCGCGAAAAAGAAATATCCGTGAACATATCTTGAGAACAGATTACAACATAGCGGCACTTGACGAAATGAGCTTTGTCTGTTTTTAAGTACAAATCAAATCGTTCCTTATTAGCCTCTCATTAAAAAGTGATGTAGTGTGTAGTTTCGCACTTGAATGTTCACTCATTTCAAATAGAATTGACGTTTGACAGGAAAGAACAAACGTGAATAAAAGAAATCAATGATTGCCAAAAAAAAACTGATCTGATGACACCTACAATTATGAGAATCCGTTTTTCGTTTGTGTTATTCAATTATATTCGCGACTTAATGATGATCACAAAAAAACGGGAAATTAGTTTTTTTTAATCAGCAAAAAATAATAATTTAGAAGCAAACTTATCTTGACATTATATTCATTAATGCCATGGGTGATTTGGGAAACTTTAATGCGTTCCATTGCTTGTCTTTGTTTGCAATCAAAAAAATTTTCTTAGTAAATTCTACAAAGCCAAAGAATATTTACAAATCTATTAGGAATCTAGGTTCGTAATAATTTGACCAACAACAATCGAGAAATGACTCAATAAGTATGGCTTATGGTTCTACTCAAATATGTATTCCATTTTTGAACTTCCCGAGGAACTTCTATTGTCCAAAGTAAGCCAAGTAATAATGAATTTATCCGAAAAAGTCAGCGTATAATATAAATTATAATAATCAGCTGTAAATACTGTAGATAAAATCTCATTAGAAGTTATTTCTGTTAATGAAGGAACCGCCTAAGCTCTTTGAAGCAAAGCAAGTTCTTATGCAATCATCCATTATTTATAAATAGTTTGAGGCAAATTCATGTTCCTCCACTCTTTAAATTTTAAGCTTCTGTAGATATTTTAATTTTATTTTTTGCAAATCATCTATCTACATACTCGGATATGTGAGTTGTATTTTGTGTGTAGGTAAATATTAATCGTAGAGCAAAGAAGTAAATTAGAAGAAAAATAAATAAGGGAATAAGTTTATTTATGAAAACGATCGGCCTTTGAGTTCATTTTTGCAAGCAACGATATTAGCAGATATAACAATGAAACAACAACTGAGAAGTTTTTCTTATTATTCTTCATCTTCTTCTTGTTCTTTCATTCGACAATGCCGTACGAATTTAAATTACAAAATATCTCATCTATGCCTTTTCTTCCATTTTATGTTCAATCGTTCTTTAAGGTCGTTGTTCTTTTGCGAACGATTCCACAGAGCCTTGCAACCATGACATCGAGCATCTTATCTCGTTCATGCTTCATTACTGTAGCGCAGGCTGTTTCACGACGAGAGTGAAAAGGTTAAGAATTGTCTGAGACATCTCGATGATGTTTACCAGAGTGCTGAAAGAATTTCAAGAATAATCCAACTATCCATGAACGCTAAGACGCTTTTTTTCCTCTCCTTTCGACATCGTTGAAGTCAGCGCAAAGTGAATAAATTAATGGGCAAAATTATCTAATTTAAATGCACAATAAAAGTCAGATAACGATGATTTCCCACGAAGAAACTTTAAACATAATGAGTGGAATCCAATCAAAGACGATGTTGCACGTATGTTGAGTTTCATTGCAATATAATCAACTGTAAATACGAGACACAATACAATGTTCTACACGAATGGAAATGTGATGTAAATATCCTTGAAATAATTGTCCATACTTAATCAATTTCTTTTTTATATTATCTATCGATTGGAGCTTGTAAATCTCCTGGAAACAAAGTGCTTTTATAAAAACACTCAAGACTAGACACTGAACTGACCGTTTGCTAATAGCTTAATAAGTCAGCCAATGCTAGTCTTGTTGAAACTCAATTCTTTTCTTGTCGAAACGTGAACTAAAAAGAACTCTTTATTAACTTCAAACTTTTGCTTTTATAATATAATTTTGCTGATTCTATTAATTTTGCTTATATCTATAAATTGAAATGATGACCGAAATGGAAAATATATTGACATAATTAGGGCAATTACATTCTTTTTGCTTACGAATCTTATTCATATTTTTCATGTTAGTATTGAAATAAAAAAGGGAATTTTGCCTTCTCCATCGATAGATAACATTTTCTAAACTCCAATGATGGTCATAAAATCGTCAATCGACCATTGTCTCTCGTTACTATCTCCCAACATCCGACTTTACGTCTTGCAATTGCTATAATTTACTAAGCATGCGATATAAAATTAAAATACAATAAACTGTTCAAACCAGTAATAAAATATAGTCAACATTTATTATTTATTAATATCGATGATAAATGCGCGATAAAACATTTAAATCGAATCGAATGTTGATTGTTGAGTAAGAACAGTTGCCATATGTTTACTTATCTTTCTATGTATTTTGCTAGACTGATCTTTTAAGGAAAGCATCAACATCATGTAATGATAAGAATTTAATTTAAATGACTATCAAATAAGAAACTTCCTCAAGTTGTCATCTTATGCATTCAGAACTAGAATTTCTACTCCATCGACGTAAACATCGATGAAGTGTTCTCAACTTAAACTATTAATAAGAAATGAAAGATTATGAAAACGTCTGGAACGATGAACATTGCATATTTTTTTCTGTGTCTTTAGCCAGAGATTCACTACACATAATCGCTTATCTTCGCTTTCGTTTCATGCAACATAAATTCACCAAGCACGAGAAGACGCTTCAGAAGGTCAAAGTTTAAGGAGAATTCGACGACAGAGTATAAGAGAAAAGCGAAACTAAAACGACGAAAAAAAAAGTCGGCCCCAACAATAAATATCGTGCAAAAGCCCGATATTTAAAACTCCGGCAGTTATAGAATTTAGCTAGACGAACAGTATTAGTAAAAATCTAACTCCAATAAGGGGCCACTTTGTGTGAAAAGTTTCTGGAATATCGAAGGTGGAAACATTATACAAAGTGGCCCCTTATTGGAGTTAGATTTTTACTAATACTGTTCGTCTAGAAATTCTATAACTGCCGGAGTTTTAAATATCGGGCTTTTGCACGATATTTATTGTTGGGGCCGACTTTCGGTAACAGACTTTTTTCCCTTAAAAAAAACACGCTCTGACGCTTTGAAATGAGACACTCGTCTGAATTCTATACGAAGTTTTTTTTTCTTCGCGATGTCATCATCATCATCATCAGATCAAGGACAGGCACCTATAGGCCAATCCTGGCCATATAGGAACCACCATCAAAAGCCATAAGCGTTTTGAGGGCAATGGTCATAAGTGGCACGTGAAAATGACAACATTACGCAATTTCATCTTCGCGATGTTTTTTTTTTTTCGCTGTGAATGTTTTTTTTTTTTCGCTAGGAATGTTTTTTTTTTTTCGCTAGGAATGTTTTTTTTTTTTCGCTAGCAATGTTTTTTTTTTTTCGCTAGGAAAAGGGCAACTTTGTATGGCAGGGACCCGAAGTATTAAAGGTACACACCCCATAATTTGATAGAAACTTTCTATTTGTATTTAAAACACTTTGGTAAAGAAATTTTTCAAATTGGTTAAGAAATGTAGAAATGCGAGTGTCTACATCCATACAGACCCGAAAGCGGACAGAAATTTTTTTTTCGTTTTTTTCCACTTTTCTCGCTGTTTCAACCCATTTTAAGTGTAACTAAGCAAAGAAAAATTTTTGAAATTTTTGCGTGAATCCAATACGGTGACCCGTCACCCTAGGGTGGGGCCTCCGTAAAAGTTCCAAAGAATTATCGAAGTCGAACTTTACTATGAGACGAGCTAAAGTCCCTTCTTGTGCTGTATGTTGTGTAATTGAAAGTAAGAAAAAGACGCATTGAAGCCTTTAAGCTACAGTCGACCATGGAAATGGTCGAGCAAGATTGAAAATGAAAATTAGCAATTTCTTTTCTCTCCCGATGTTATGTTGGCGGGTTCATTTTGCTTGCCTCCATCGCGTGAACAATTTAATAAATCATTCAATTTACCTTCAGCCGAGATCATTTCTCTTCTTTTTCTTGGGCTTTAAGGCAAAATGCGCTTCTTTGATGGACTTTTAAAAATGCCAAAAAATAAAAATAAATTTTATGTGAAACCAGTTTCGGATTCTTCGCGGAGATGGTTTAATGGAATTTCTCAGATACATCTACGTAGGTATAAGTTGAAGCAAAACAGGCATAAAGTAGAGAAGAAAGCCAATTCACTCACCAAATCTTCTTTCTTTGACTTTGCCATTCATTTGTCCCGATCGTGTCCGGTTGTTGACGAGTTGTGAAAGAAAAAATTATCGGCAAACAATGGACATCAATAAAACGTTCATAAGTGGAATATTTATTCAATCAACAATTTCACGATCGGACACGAAAGTCGCATAAAAAATTGACCATTTAATTAAATGTGACGTTTATTTCAAGCACATCATTCTCATTCATGGCTTTTGCACATTGTTGTCTCTCATATCTCTATTGTAACGACATTGGCTTTTCTTTCCTAGCTCTGACTCAACAAAAAATCACTTTCTCGCGTAGACAAATCTCATTTCATTATGTCAGGTAGTGAATCGAAATGAAAAAATTTACATTTACCAAGCCACAAAAAAAAAACCGCAAATAATTTATATAGAAATCTCAAATTTTTATATTTTTTTTGCTTGGCGTTGAATTTCAATTTTACGAGCAATTTTTCTTTCTTTCTTTTGCATAATAATGTGAATTTTGCTGGGGCGAAATTAAATCATCAAAGTCATTTTAAAAATTAAATGAGTTGAAATAAATAAGCGGAAAGAGAAAAGTTTTCACGCTGCTGCCTAGGCCAAGTGACAAGGCCGCGAAATCTGTCTGAATATAGACATTAAAAAGATATTCGTAATGCATAAAGACTGAAAGGAAAAACGGAAAAGATTTCACGACGTAAGAAAGATGGCGATTCTCAAGAACTCAGCGATGTAAAAAAGAAGAATTAAACTCTCGACTTTTTTATTTGGTTTTTTCAGTCACGCCATGTTATAACAACAGGAATCTATAATAACTTTTTTTCTTAACTCAAGACGAAAGAGTCAGTGAATGCTTATGGGCTTTATCCCATCTTAATTCTTTTAGAATTTTATGTTAATATGTTGAATGAATTCCAGCGCATAAGAAAAGTTTTTAATTTTCAATTTTACACACAATGCGCGAGCAACTGATGCAGGGAGAATTGCAGAGAACTGTAACACCATGTGACCTATCGTGCTTAAGAAAATGTAAAAAGACTTTAACTTTCTCTGTTTATGTCTCTCTTTTACAACACAATATTTTCTTCTTCCTGCTCTGTTCATTGGATTTATGCATAAGTGCAACGTGCAAAGCCTTCAAATGGCTAATTTCAATGAAAAAGTTAATAAATTTCATCGCTTTGTCGTTTATGTGCATGTCCTTGTGTAATTTAAAATATGAAAACGGATTTTCACTCTTTTATGGTCTAATGTTTGAACTATGACCCTTTCCGTGCTATCAACTAACCCGTCAAACGAGGCTTAAAAACATTCGTATTCCTTCCGTGCTTCATAACTTATGATTGATTGTCGTGAAATGCAATTTATATATTGAGGGAATATGCTGGTGCTTATGTGGAAAGTGAAAATGGGTCAAGAATTGATTTTCCCTATGCTGCTGTGTGCTTTTCCTTTTCTTAACCCCTTTAGAGCTTTCTACCCCTCAATATTTATTTTTGCGAACAATTGGGGGTTGTTTGAAATGATTCGTCAATGTGACTTGAAGTACTTACCAGTCGTGTCATTAATATCAAAAAAGGAAGTAAACGGATTTCCTTCAGAAACCAAGCCATATCGTATTTCACGTGGAACGCCTTTGTCGCCATCTTCAGCATGAACTTGAAGAATCTGAAATGAAATAAACAACTTGAAGTGGAATTTATAAAATTGGAGTCAATGAAAAACTTTTACCTTATCACCAGGAATTAATCCTGGAGGAAGACGAGTGACGGGCGGTGCTAACGTGAAAACGGGAGCAACATCTTGCACGTCCTCGACAATTATCACAATGTCAATGCCAGCAATGTTCCGACTATCTTGACCAGGCTCTGCATAAGCATCCTGTTAGTAAATGAAATAAGAAACTCATAAAAATCACCGTATTTGTGCAAATATCATAAAATTTTATTCAATGTTTTACGTTTACTTTTGTCTTCGTTTCATTGATAATTATGATGTCATTTTGTATTAAGTAAGTGACATCAGAGTAAAGGAATTCGATTTCATGGTGACAAAATAGCTTTTAATCATTAATTTCAGTTTATCGTCTCAATTTTCAATCGTCCAAAAATAGCGCTTGAATTGTTAAAAGTCTTTCAGGAGGCCGCCAAGATTTTTTTAAACACATTTTCGGTCGACAGAAAAAAATTTATAATAGCCAAAACCAATTTCACTTTTACTTTTGTTTGTTTCGGTATTAAGAAGGAAAAATATGCGATGTTGAGTCGGCACATTATTGCAATTCGAATTGGTTCGAGGAGAAATGGCACAAAGTGAAACAACATCGAAGCCATTTGCCACACCAGATGTTCGCTTAGTCTGAGACTCGCCATTTGTGAGACGATATTAAATAGCAACATTAACCTAGCCTTTTGCGCCGTATGTGAAGTCGTTTTGCACTTTTTTATGTAACACTCGCTATGGGTAATGATCGGCGGTCGAGGTAATTGAATTCAGTGATTGTGTGCGATTTTCACGTCTGGTGTTGAACTGGTTTTCATCTTGTCTTTTGTTTCTCTTCGTCAACCGTTTTGTTTGCGAAAACAAAAGTAAGTTGAAGTATTAATCACTGCCGCTACCGATATCATAAAGTTAGCCTAGTTAGTTACTTTCGCGGTGCATATCAGAAAATTGTTTTAAAGGTAAACAAGTTTGCAGACTTGATTTTAAAGCGATTATTCATAGTGTTCAGTATGCAAGGAATTAAATCGAAGGAAATTAGCGAAAAGTTTTTCTTTTATTTTCATTCAAAAAATGTTTTTCTTGGGAAATAGTCGAAGAAAAATTTTAACTGTGCACACGTGTATGGAGACTTTAAAGTTTAGTTTGTTTTGCAAAAGTCACAATAAGCAGTCTTTTGCTTTCAATGGAAATCGATAAATCATTCTGCAAATAAATTATTAACATGTAAGTTTCAGAGAATAATGAAATTGTTACATTGCACTGCATTATCTATCAGATATTTTATATAACTTTGCAATGTTTGGAAATTCGATTTTATATGATGAATTTTTCTTTCGATAACTCAATAACAAATCTGTTACTCACATCTGATTAATAATCTCAGCTTACTAATAAAAGATCATTACGCAATGACGTTAAAAATGTTTCATTTACTCAGTAAATTACAGTTAATAGTCGACAATCAATTTAAAAATCTGTCCACACCAAATCAAATATGATATTTGGATGGAAATGGCAAAAATCCTCATAAAATTTTGACTGTAATTTAACATCAAGAAATGATTGTGAACATTAATCGAATTGTTGCCAATGACAAGATAATAACTTGAAGCATCGATCGAGCATTGAAATCACAAAGAGAAGAAGAAGAAAAACCATCAAAGTGAATACAAATGATCGATAAAAAACTCTTCGTGTGACAATAATATGCAAATTGGACTGTTAAAACAGCAGCAAATTGATGGCCGTTTGAATGAGAAGAATTTGCTATTCCGAGGAGTACCAGAAAGTCACAGAATGCCCATAAATGGAGATAACATCTATTTCGGAGCATGTAAATGAATGAATGCCTATCAGAGCTTCGAACTTCTTGAATTTGTATTTTTTTCTTCTCGCTTCGTTTATTATTATTTCTCAATGAGATGACGGCAAGGTATTTCATAAATTATTTATTTTCATTATTTAGAGAAAAAAGTTAGAAAAAAGAGAATAAAAAAAGCATTTTATTCAAATGAGATCGCATTTGGGATGTGGTACAACAATGATAATTAATATTATGTGATTTTTCATGTCATACGATGTGGGCTGCAAGCCACACGGTGGGATTGGACAAATAATGAAAGAACTCGGTTTAGGGAAAATGTGATTATTTGGTGGCTCATTAAATGGCAATCCATGTTATGAATACATGAATAACAACGTCGTCGTTGACGTCGTTACTGGTAAAGTTGTTTACAAAAGATGAAACGATACAAATTGTATTCCACATCTCATAAGATTACGCAATTCTCGGTGGTTTGGTGAAGCATTTATCCAATTGTTACTTCGCATACATTAAATCTGATCGTTTCACTTTTTATTTTCGGTGGCCCAAACACTAAACTGAATTGAAGTCAAACAATAAAACGAAATTTTTGTGTCGTGCCATTTTTTTTCAATAGTTAAACATAATATTCGCACGTTTATGGTTTACGCTCTCATTCAACTATGAACTCCATTGACTATTGACTTTTTAAAAATAAAATAAAACTTAATTCGTCTAACATTATAGAAATATTTAATGCAATCTTGAAGACTTCACTGACTGCGTATTTATTTTCAGCTGCTGTTTGAGAAGTTTTATGAGTTGATTTAATCTCACAAGGTGAGTGATTAAAAAAGATTTTAACTGCCCATTTGCTTGCTTTATTTGAAGCGAAGATTATTTCTTTATGCTTTATTTACACATAAGGAATTTCCAATGTTTAACCGCCCTACAAGCATAAAAACAATGATTTCATTAAACACCTTTGTTGTGTATTTAAATATTTTCTCTTTCTAAATTTCGATACACAAAAAGGCGTGATTTGCCTAAACTCAACTTGATGGGCTGGAAATTTAAGACAAAAAAAAAAGTTGCAAGTAATTAAATTAATGGCTTTCTGATAGATTTTTAATTATTTATTGTGATGATATTTCTTGGTTGCGATTACACAAGAAAAGTTTCTCATTTGCAAATTTTTTTTTTCTATTATTTAAGCCGCAATTCAATCATTTTGTGAATTTATTTTCTTTTAATCTACCACAAGGAAGAGTTTGGTAGCAATAGCGAACCGAGAAAATTTTTCTTTTCCTCGTCTGTTTCAATGCAAGCGATGTCATAGCAAAAAGAATTTATGAAATTTGATACTTTTGTAAAAGTAATGAAATAAAAATCGTGCAGATTCCAATAAAAGCGATCGCAACTTGAAAAGTTGTGGCATTTTAATTAAATTATTTAATTTGAAAATGCTCTGATCTACACTTCTGCTTATGTTGTTGATCTGTAATGTAATATTTTTGGGAATATCTACATGAACTCTTAAAATTGGATTTTATTTCTTTTTCCTTCATTCGAGACTCTCGTAACATCTCTGCATGAGATTCGTTGTCGTGTGACTTCACTTGGACTCGAAGGTGATTTAATAACTCTTTGTGGTGGATTTTGACGGGGCGGGCGCACAAACATTTTTTTCTTCAACTTAAGTTATGATCGTTGAACGCGAGAAATACGAAAGGAAAGTTTAACGCTGATGCAATAAAGCGCTTTTTAAAAAATCATATTTTACGGGACTCTCGTGTTTCTGACATGTCTTTAATATTATTCATAAAAATAGTTAAACACATAAACTCATTTGAGAGCGTTCAGCAGACTTGAAATCTGGGCCCTCGACTTACAACATTAAGTTCTACTATCGGGACTGTCTAGTGCAGTGAACATAAATTTATCAATTGGAATTAAGAAAAGAAAAAACAAAAAACTTTCACTTGCGGTGGTGGTTTCTGGTACATAATTTGTTAGTTTTCTTTATGTAACTTCCTTGCTCTTATTTCACTTCTTGTTGTTCTGTGTGTTTGATGTTTTTTCTTCCTTCTTCTGTGTCTTGTTACTTTGCTATGCCTTCCATGTAAACTGAAAGCTATTCTTACATTCACGATTTAAATGTCTCAATATTGTTTCATTGTTTCTCACTTTTTATAAACGCAAGAAAAGAAAAAAAGATCAACCTAACAAGAGCTGTTGGTAGTACGACAATAGCTATGCAAAATAATAGTCAATGTTTCCATTCTCTTTAACGCAATAAGCAGTAATGATAAATCGTGTTAAATTCGTTGTGACATGAAATTATTTCAAAAAAATTTGAATGAAGTGAGAGTGAAAATATGAAAAATTATTGACTAGATACTCAAGACTCATGATTGACATCGTTTACTTCTTATTCAATGTGCTTTATGAACATCTTACGAAAGCAGGAAAAAGCTTGTTAACGATGGTGATCAGCAAATTTCAATTAAATCGATTAAACTCGTTTGCTGAAGTCTCAAAGTCTTACAATTTACTTTTGGAATTTCACTTGAGTAGTCTTCATAATGTCGATAACTTGACGTTAATTTTACATGTCCAATGACGATTGCCAACGACATAATGATGATTGAAATAACTGATCTTATTTTAAACTTTCATTTTGAATCTTAAACGAAATTAAATAATGTTGATTACTTATCTTGTCAACATGATCACAACTTTTTCCTTGTTTATTCCAACTTTTAACTTTATCATTCAATCATTCGATATTTTTGTGAACAAATATTTCATGCTTCTTAATTATTTTCTTCCAACATTAATCATTTTAGTGTGATTAACATTCTTCTTGTTAGACGAACAATGACGCAATCTCTTATTCAATATATTAGTGATTTTTGCAAACTACTGTGCACAGTCAGTTTTGACATTATCAACTTAAATTAATCTGGGCTAAGAGAAACTAGACCAGAGTGGTTTAATTACAATTTTCGTGCGTTTCTTTCATCGCAATCGCTTGAAGCTTAATCGAAGCATTATCAGGTTTGATTGAAATTTTTTAAACGTACGCAATATAAGTTAGGCGAAAGGTTTAAATAATCAAAATTAATTAGATTTCATCGAGTGCTCGACCTTCAACACTTTCCTTTTATGGTATGTTAAACTTTAAAATTCATCGTTGAATGTTTGTTTTTATAAAATATGCCACCATCGTTATATTGATCAGCATTTTCTCAGAAAAATGTCTGCTTTTGATTTCTTTTTTCGACTACGTTTTAGATAATACTTATTTTCCCAAGGCCACAAGCCTATCAATCAAAATATCGTTGAAAAAAAGAGGTTCAAGATGAAAATTAATGAAGACCAGCATAATTTAAGAATCAATTTTAAGAATCTTCGCTTAGTATTCATTTTTTACTCTTTCTTTACTCATCAAATCAGCTTTTGAAGCTGCATAAACATAAATCATAGTCTTGAGGATAATATTTAAAGTGTGAAGACAAACTTTTTGTTTTTGATTCTTAGTTTGCCAATAGATGTTTTCAAAGTTACTTACAATGGCTAATAATGAGAGATGGTACATCGACTGCTTCTCAAAATCAAGAGGTCCAAGAAGGAAGATCGTCCCCTCTGTCATTTCCGGTGAAACAATTTTTTGTCGAATTGCAAACAATGGTGATCCCCAAAGTTCAAGGTAAACTGGTCGTGGAAAGAGTGGATTCTTCCTTGCAACAATATAATCAAGCTCTGTTCCTCTCTTTGCATCCTATAAAGACGAAGATAAATATTTTTTCGCTTTAGTCACTTTCAAGAATAATTTATTATGCAATCAATTACTTTAAAATAGAAATCGTTGGAAGACGACTTAACTACCTTCTTTATTATGTGTTTGAAATCTTCCTAGCTATTAAAATTCATCTCAATAAAAGACTTAATAAAAAAAATACATTTTGTATCGGATAATCAAACAAAGTCGCTTCTTGCAGCAATGAATGAAAATAAAATTCTTGTTCTACATATTAATCGAGCATTAAGCTTGCATAAATATTTAGTAATTTATGTTTCCTTTTATGTTTTCAAGTTTAATTTATGAGATAAGCATCAATAGAAAGAGAATTCATATGCAGAAGTAAAATGTCTGCATTCTTGGTTGTCTTGAATGGCAAGGTGATTGGAAATATATAAAAATATATTTGTTTGGGATAATTACTAAGAAGAGGATTTGAGAATTAAATTTAACAAGTAGAAATGTTGTTAATAATAATTTTAATTGCTTCACATATATCTATTTTAATTGACGATGTGAGTAAGTAAGCTTGTTCAATATTTAATTTTAAAATATTTTTATGATTATTTGAATTACCTCTGACACCATTATGATGCTTGTTTTCTTGGGAAAAATTATGTCTGTTGGTGTAGTAAAGTTTGTGGCGGTGATGGAGCAGCTTTGTTGTGCCATTCCGCCTTTTGTATCTTTTACAGATACATGGAAGTCATAATAACGACCTGGTTCGAGTCGACGTCGAAGCACCACATTAGCCTGACATACTGAATTGTATTTTGTACAGGGTAATGAGTCGATTTGTACTGTTGATGATGATACATCGCCCACTAACTCGAACGTTAATGGATAATCGAATTCATCATCTGAAGCTCGCAATCGAAAGATTACTGATCCAACTGTAGCATCAGCTGGTACTAAAACTAATCTCATGGTCGTCGATGGATCGAAGACAGGATCTGCTGCACCAGCATACTTAATTAAACTAAATAAACATCCAATCCATAAAGCTATCACAGTCAAGTAGTTCCTGAAAATGATGTAAAAGAAAGACAATATTATTGATTTGATCTATAAATATACGCTTAATAAAAAAGATAACGAAAGATAAACTAGAAAGGGATTCATTAGCATTCAACATACATTCGATGTTTTCTAAACAAGATCGATAATGCATTTATTATATTATCTAATCAATATGATTATGTAACGAACGTTGCTTCAACATTTTTCCAAAAAACTAGAAAAAAAGAATCAAGGAAACGAGACTAATGGACGAGACTAGAAAATTATCATAATTTTTCATCTAAAACCATCGATAATCTATAAAAGTGTAAAAGCTATAATTTCCATCGGTCATAGGCATGTTTTTATTTATTGTCGAATTTGTTTTCACATTATGCATGCTGCTTTAACGAGCTGTTCTCAAATATGCATGTATGTATATTCTCGGATCGTGAATATGTTTAAAGTTTAAACATTTTAGTTTAATAATAATAAAAAATGAAACACCGACGACCTTCTTGGAAACCTTGCCAACAGCTTGACAGCTCGACCGATTTTATTCATTTTCTCATTCCTATTTTTAGCCAATTTTCTCTCCATTAAATCATCAGATTTCTGACACATTCAGTGGCTTTTCTAAAGTTTCTACTTTAAAACTTATTAATTGGATCATCGAATTATGAATTTATTATCAACAATCGTGACTACTTTTAACATGACCACGAGTTGATTGGACAATTCATCAAGTGACGTTCGCTTCTTTCAGAATTTCTTATTCATTCAAAGCATTTCAGAAAAATCACGATGATATCTTCTTTTTGCCAAATTGATGGAAGGAATGAGAATGCGTATAGAGATACGATCATTGTTTTGATTCTAGGTTAATCTCATACGATCAATCAATACATAATCACGTACGGTGAGAAATAAAAAAATGACGACGAGTAGGCAGCATTACCAGCAGCCAATAAACAGAACATGAGAACATTACTCAAACCATATTTCATCACGTATTAATTGAAATATGTTTGGATTGTTTATGCCATACCCATTTCATTTAAATACCTGAGATAAATTGCCACTTTATTGAAATTAATGTGATGCTAAAAATTGTCTAGCGCTGCTCTTTCTCTCTCGCTATCTTTTTTGACTTACGGGGTCACACTAAGCTTCTACTTTGAAGTGTTACAAATTGAACTCGAATTAATAATTTCCGATCATTTCTACTAATTTTGAATGTGTCTGGAGATCAAATGTATTTTATTGGCCTTGCAAGGTTTTTCATGACACAAACAATCTCATAATGATATATTCGCGTTTCAGACGTCAAGTGACACACAATTGCTGATATAAGACGTTTCAAATCTCATGATCACATTAGATGTGAAGTAATTAATTATTGGAATGAGATTCTACAATGCTTTTGTGAGATTTAATTAATCAGCATTCAATGACGTTGAAATGTGCGCAGAATTTCGATTAATGGTAGCAAAGAAAGGCAGAAATTCTTCTCGGTTCATTAAAAGTCCATAAATCTTAGTACGACCTTCGAAGGCTGTCCTAGCTTCCCGTTCCAAACTCGAAAGTGAGCCAATCTCTAAAGTTGCCTCATAAAATCTCATAATTAAAACACATTTACACCGATCCGTGTTACGCGAAGGCTTCAAATTCTTATTTCTATTGTAGACAAGAAATTAAATTATTATTCAACAGCAGAAAGAAAAAAAATCGCTTTAAGAAAATATCAATGAGATTAAAGTATTCATAAATTATTATTTAAGTAGAACATTCCGATGACAGTCAATAAATGGTTAATAATTAATAACACGTTCTCAAGATTGCTCTTGAATAATTTTTATTTCTTTCAATCGCTTGAGTGGATGAAATCAATTGAGAACAGAGCTGTGAGAATCTGTTCCGAAAAGTAATTTTCCATGTTCAATCATTCCGAGTTCGATAGTCAACAAAAATAATAAATCCATGATCATTTTTTATTTCATTGTTGTGACTTAAGCTTAAAATTAATTTAGTGGAAACTCTTTTTAGGGGACCGCTTTAAGACCTTAAGATCCTAAACCAGCTACGTTTTCTTTGTTGTCGCATGGCACTAAACGTGAGTGATAATTTCAAGTTTTTTATTGGCTTAGATATGTACCTACATACATATGCCAACTTTGCCACCTAATTTACGTCATTCAACAAGCTCGTTATTTAAAGTGCTAAAATTTTAATAAGAGAGATCCACAAGCTTTATTTTTTCTTGAAACCGCAGCGATGAAATTTATTAAAATTATCAGAGATCAAAAAGGGAAGTTAAATTGCTTTCTCATTAAAAACATTTTTTTGTTTGTTCGAGATACGTCAGAGAAGTTCAACTGTATTAAAAAAATCAATATAAAAGCTCAGTAAAATCATTAAAATTTAAATTCTTGAAGTGACATTAATATAATGACCATTCCGTGTGTCAAGTGGGACGCTATTGAATGTTATTACCTCAAGCGTCAAATTCCTATCGAAGCCAGAAAAAAATTAAAGTTTCAGATTTCGCCACTGATAAACTTCTCTAGTCGTCGTTGTCATTATTATTTATTCTTGATATTTTATTTTCTTTGGTTTTCTAGTGTCTCTTGAGTTACCTTTGCCTCGCATCACTCGCTTGAGAGAGAAACATGATTTTCTGTTAAATGAAGGAGAAAAAGCGGACAATCAACCTTGAAAAGTATTTTAAATTACCAGAGTTAAAAAAAACGAAAACGAAACAAAACCGTCCAAATCTGGGGTCATTAAACCTACGCGAGCAATTATTTCTTTTTTCGAACTTGATTATTGGCATGTATTGGTCAATGAGTATTTAATGTGAATTGGCTTCTAAGTGCCATCAATAAATTAGAGTGTCAGGTAGGTATCTTGAAAGTCCATTAAACTGATTTTGATTGTGCACGCGCATCTTTCACTTTAAATAAGTAAATTTTAAGATCTCAATTATTTGAACACGCTCAGAGAAATTTCGTAAGCTAAGAAAATATTGAGGTTGATTTAAAACCAGTCGTTCTTAATTTGATAAGAAAGAAGCGACAATCCCACATTAACACACATAATTCAGCTTCCCATGCTCGACTTTTATGGATCAACATTCATTGAGTTTAATATGGTTGAAACATCAGAGACGGAAGAAAAACTTCGTGACATTATAAAATTAATTGTGAGAAATCAAGAAAGACGACATTGCATCCGATCGAAGAAAAGAAATGAAGTTAATTACTTCATCATCAAGCAGATTGTTTACTGGCAAAATGTGCGCAGCACATGAAATAAATAAACAAATTTGTAAGCTGTTAAAATAAGGCAATGCCAGCAATCATAAATGGTCATTTATGCTTTTATGATTGTGATAGGATTTAATATGAAATCATTTTTTATAAACTTACATAAAAATCTTATTACATTAATGAGGATGCAGAATCTCTTCATTGAAAAGCTATTAAAAGTGTTCATTACTTAACATTATCAAAGACGATTATTAAAACTTTAGCAAGGTGGGAGAGACAAGAACATCGATGATTTGCGTGGTAAACTTATGGACAACAACAATTGATAGAAAGCTTTACAGTTAATGAATCTCTTCAGGTCATAAATAATCCTAAATGAGTTCAAAAACATAAAACGTCACAGAAAATGGCGCATTTTGATTTAGTGAAAATCAAATTGCAATCTATCGATCGAAAAGTCGTTTCTTTTTCACAACTTCCCTTTCCATTCCTTCGTTCTAAGTATCTTATGTGAAATCCGTTAGACATAAGAAGAATAAAATTTCAGAATTTATGTGATTTGTTTCCATTGTATGCAGAGAGAAAGAAGGAAAAGAAGTGCTAGCAAAGTATTCACGAGAATATAAGCCAAAGTTGTTCGAAGGCAATATATTTTCGATTAGATATTATGAATTTTATTTTTCATTAAAAATATTCCATTCGGCGATGTCTGTTCCTGGAATTTGCTTGCATTCTGATATCGTACAGATATTTAAATCTCAATTTTATTGTGAATTTAGAACTGAATCTAGAATTAGAATTTTCCTTCTCTTTCATCTACTTATTTATTAGTTATTTATTAATCTTAGACATATTTTTCAACTTTGTTATGTAAATGAGCTTGTGGATTCGCCTCAGGATGATTTTCTGAGGATATAAAGAATGCAACACTTTAATCGTCATTATTTAACTCGTTCTGTTTCTTATAGTCTCGAGCGATAGTCACAACCAACTGTACTTATAAAACGAAGGGAATTAATAATTATTAGAAATGAAATTGATGATAAAATTTCTTACTTTTTTTCATATAATGATCTTAAGTTAATAATAAGTAAACAAGATGTTTAACAGAACAATATCAGATAAGACAAACAGGCAAGCAATGGAGCGATTACTGTAATTTTCAGATTTATTACTTCACTGTTGTATAAAATCTAATCGCTCTTTTGTTGATCTTTTTCTTTTTATTCATTAAAGAATTAGTTAAGGAAATGTGAGATTAAACATTCTAATCTGATGCTTCCGAAACCATGATAATTTTTTATGTTTCATCTAAGGTGTGAATAAAAAGAAGCGCTAAAGTTTATGTTGGTAAATAATATTTTAACAGGAAATATTAGTGAAGATCCAGGAAGAGCCATAAATCCATCTATGACTTGTGTTGTAAATATTTTGAGTAGGAACGATTTCTATCTTTAATTGTTTTCATTTCACGTTCTTAAGAACCTTCGAGGAAGTTTCTCGAAATTGCACTATAAAGTTTAAGCTCACAAAAACATTTTCTCGTGTTTCAGTTACAAGACAATCGAAGCCTATGAGAAATCTAAGACAAAAAATCTTATCGAATGATGGAATTTAATTGAAATTCGAAATTTCTTCTTTCACCTTACTTGATCTTCAAAGAAAATCAAAGAAAGAAGACAAAAAAGACAATCCGACGTTCGCGAACCGTTAAATCTTTCTTCATTTTCTTTCCTTCATGTCAAACCTTCTTCGACATTGTTTTGACAAAAGTTCTCTAAATCTTGAATTCACTTGATTTCGAAAGCGATTCAAAGTTAAGCTTCAGCGACATCACATCGAATGAACGTTCCCAAGCGGAATCAATCGACTATCGACTCTGAGAAATCAAACGCTGATGTTTCTGCACATTAATCTTCCTTTATTAATCAATAAATAACAAATTTTGCGAAAAATATTTTTTATAATTCCAATGGGAGAGAATCGATTGAAGTGAATCAACCAAGAAAAGATGTTTTTGATGAAATGATATTCCTACCTTGACGGTAAAGAAAAAACTGAAAGAAATTGATCTTCTGAAGTTTGATCGAAGCGAAAAATTCTCTGTTGAATCTTGACTGCGTGATTCTTTTTCGATGAAAGCCGGAATACATACATTATGCTTTACTGGATTGTATTTCTAATCCCACAATAGCTTTTCAAACGATATGAATCGGCAATCGACATTAAAACTCGATGAAACGTGATACTCGTTGTAATGATCTATCGTACTGAGCATGCAATTGATAACGCTCAAAGCGATCAACAAATGAAGGTTGAAATAATCCATGAACGTCAGAGAAATGTTAACGAAATGCTATCGCTTTACATCGCCACGTTCTTAATCTTTTCGGACTTGAAAGGCGATGTATAATTAACAATTATTTTTCGTTGATGTCTTGCTCGCTGTTGCGAATTTCGAATAATCGGGAGTCATCAACTTTTTGTATTCGTTTTTCTTTTTTGAACGACGGTTTTGCAGCAAATGATGAAATTCATGGTTTTTTGATAAAATATTGAAGTCGCTTAATGGATCTCAGCACTGCTGTTTTAAGAATTTAATCCTCTCGAGAAACTTAAGATATTTAAGTGAAGAATAAGAACCAGAAGACAATGATTTTGTATAGAAGGATTTCCTTCTTCACCGTCATTGACTTAATAAATCTCAGCGAAAAGTGAATGCTGCAATAACAAGTAAATATGAAATCAAAAAGAGAATAAAATCAATTTATCTCTTCATCATTGTTGTTAATATTTCTTATTTTATTATTATTATGAAAAGTTCTTTGTTATCAAAACGTTTAAGAAGTTGAATACTGAAAAGTGACTGTTGAAGTTCTCGCAAAATTCTGAAAGCGGATCTTTTGTGCTTTTAAAAGAATATTAATGGTAATGTTTGCTTTAATCATTTGTCGATTTCTGTTAAATATTTCAGAAACGGATTTCCAGCTGCTTCATCTCAACAGAGATTTGACAAAATGAAGGAATCAATCTTTCAATTCAATTCAATTGAGATTTCTCGACTTTCTTTGGTTCTTTCTACACCTGTCAGGAAGCTCTGTTAATAATGAAAGAAAAGCTTTGAAAGAACTCAACAAAGTCTGCCTCTTATTATATTATATATTATTAAGAAAATTACGCAAACACAAGTACAAGCAAATTGTACGATTGGAATGATAATAAACCAAATAAGAAATTTATTATCAAGAACGAGTTGAGAGACAAGGCAAGCAAGAGTAGAAGATTCTTCAATCCGCAATTATGTTCAACGCATCGACCATATTTTGTATCCTTCACTCGGTTCTTCTTCTCTTCAGTTTCATATAAACATAAACAACTATAAAGCCATAAAGCATAATTCGCAGCTTTATAATAATAATAAAATTGCATTTTTCAACGAAACTTGTGAAAATAATTCAAGAGAGACTTGCGCAACTTATGGTTGAAGAAATATCGCGAAATTTTATTCTTTTAAAAGTTCTTTCTTGCTCGTTATAGTTGAACAATGGACCAGATCAAATGAAACAATACTCGAAAGATTAAGAATCTGACCTCATCCAATGTGCAGTATGTAAGTTGACTGTGTAAAATCTTTTATTACATTTAATTTTTTGTCTGCTTTAAGAGCTCTCAGCTTGATATTTCATGTGAAGAATGAACTTTAGAAGATTATTCTCTGCTCTTATCGAAGATGCTTGCAACATTTAATGAAATGATCAGGGCATGAAACGAAGGTAGTCAATTTGAATGTGGTTTAATTGCAAAACAGTTTCAATTTCATAGGCAATTAATTTTGTGGCAATCTCAACGCTTCATATCAGCTTATAAGCAATGTAAATGGTTTGAATTCCTTCTGTAAGACTCTTAAACGGTTAAATGTTAATAAGTGAGCAAGTAACTACGATTATCATAATCTAATCTAACATTTTCGACATTATAACATGAGTTTTTAAAATGAGCTTGAAAATTGCAGGCGCTGCTGTCGACTTTGGCTACATAAATAAAATATTGAAAGCTTAAATAAATTCATTATCAGCTAAGCTCTATAAAAGTCGAAAAGGTGGCTAATAATTTCAATTAAATTGCCTTTAAACCTGTTATTTTTTTCTGTATCGAATATGATATGAGATTCGACACTGCTTCTAATGGGTAGACCGTAGACAGAACAAATGATAGAGACTGACTCAACTTTTATTAAGAGTAGTCTAGAAGCAAGAATCTTATAAATCAAATCCAAGTTTGATTCAAAGAGGCGTATTTTTTAGAGCATAATTTATAATTGAACGAAATCATTTCTGGAAGTGCTGCAGCCAAAGGTCTTTGAAATACTACGTAGATACAAAATTAAACTCCAACATTGTTTCAACCATCGAATAATCTTGAAAGAAACATCACGACTTCTGCTGGCTGTTCTTGGCGGCTTCGTTCGCTTCTTCCAACAGTTTCAATAAGGAAAAACTTAGAATTGATACAAATGCTCTGTTTTAAACGAAGGGTTTTGAAATGGTATAAAAATTACGTATAAATCAGAATGACTGTGACAAAGTCAAAAGATTTTTTATAGCTCCATAACTTAGCCTTTTAAACCCATAAAATTCTTGTTTAAACTTGATATTTTGCTTTTCACATAAGTACCTTAACTTAATGTTTACAAAGTCTCTTTACAGTACTAATTGAGAATAAAAGCTTTAAAAGACATTAAAATTAGCGACATTTCAACAATGAATGAAGAATGAAATCAATTAGTCTCGCTTTATATTTAAATTCGTTCAAAGGCAAAATAAAAGCTCATAGATTACTTTATTATGTTCATGTAGACAAGGTCGCACTAAAAATACTTCTTTACTCATGTTTCCACGAATACTTAATAAACGCTTTTACGTATCAGTCAAAGATCAGTTAAGCAATGAATTTGATAGCACGAAGATGAAATTTAATATTCACGGTTACATCTTCAAATCATTTCAAAATTGAAATAAAATAAAGAGATGAAAAAAAAAACAGAAAACAGGAAAAGTAATTACATTAAGTCTTGTTTTGTTTTCCCTGTTAAAAAAAAGAACTTGTACAATTAATGCCTGAGGTCGGAGACCAAATAAGCGTTTCTTCTTATTCTTTTCGTCTTCTCGCTGAGGAGAAAAATTCCACATTTTATGATTCTTCTTCTTTCTTCGTTCATCGGAGTATTGAATAGTGTAAACTAAACACTTTATGGTGCGATTTACTTTATTTTCGTTTTAAAAAGAATTTCGGAACGTTTAATGAAGCATTGGCGGTGGTGATTACCATGGCACTCAAATAACTGTTGCAATCAACGCCTCTGGCATCAGAGACGTTTAACTCATTGGCTTCACAGATGAATAACCTTCACAATAGTAATTTCTGTTGAATGTTATTATGTGATTTGTTTTGTTAGATAAATAAGTTAACTCGCGCTGAGAGCAAACCTCACTCATTGAAGTCAAAATAAATGTCTTCCACTCTCGAATTGTTTGAAGAGTTCTTTTCGTTTGATGGCTACGATTAAATATTAAATAAATTTCTAATTAAATCAGAGCTGGTTCGCCTTCGCGCTTTTCCATCAAAATTACTTCACCGTAGTTGGTCTGATTGATTTCTGAGCGGTTTAATTGATGCTTAAACTTGTTCTAGAATAAACAATGTCTAATGTCTCTCATGATATCAAGTAATCAAGAAAGAAAAGCCTTCGAAAACAAGAAAAGAGAAAGACGACAATCGATATTGAGACAAGCTAATTAAATTGTCTATTAAATAAACTCATCTCAAGCTTTAACACATTTGGCGATGCTTTTATTCGTAGTCATGAAAGTAAAGATTTGAATCACAACTCGATTTCAATTAAAATATAAATTCATCCTATGTTAAGTTCTTCAAGAATTCAAGTCAACCCCGTGAGTTATCTGATTTATATTAAGCATTACTAGAAGACGAGAAAAAAAGAGTTGGAAATTAAAATGAAAAATGCTCGCGATTGTAAAGAGATATTTGACTTCAACTTAATTATTGCCGAAGGTATTTTAACTACAAGAAGAAGAAGAGGCATTCGTTCTTACATTCTTAATGAAGAATACAAGAGAAAACCTTGAGACAAAGTGTTCACTTTGATGAAGCAACAATTTGTTGAATGCTTTACGATGATTTTCTTAACATATTTAAAAGTCTCCCTTTGATTATTATGCATTATTCAAATCGAAATATTTTAAAACTTAATCGACTTTCATGCATTTGCTACATGAGTAAAGTTTAAAGCGTATTGTGGTTGAAAGTTGCTGTCTCTCGTCTCTCAACTGACAATCTAATTAAGATAAAAAAGACTCAAGACAAAATCATGTACTGAATATTAAGCAGCTAATGAACAATAAAAAGCTTCCATTCATTACATTTTATGCTCGCTATTTCTCTTCTTCTTCCCATTTTTTACTTTTAACTTTTATGTCCCCACAATCGAAATGGATGCTGTGCAAGTTTCTGATGTGTGTTCACAACAAAATAACTTTAATACAAAAGACGACGACATTTCGTCTCAATTTATTTCTTAAACATGAGAAGCTTTTATATGATTTTCTCCCGGTCCCGCCTTAGATAGCTCCCAAAAATTTCGATTAACACCAAAGGCCGTTTGACATAAAAAGAAAGAAAAAAAAATGGGTGCAAAGAGTAATTTGAGAAGCTTTTAGTTACCGCTAACTTTTTATAATTCACATGTGAGGTTTCAATTTCACCAAAGAAAAAAAATTATTGTTGTTATTATATTTGTTTACTACATGTCCATTTTAAGATAATTTGTGTTACTTTGATGTGTTGTTGTTGGTTAAGAGCGCGCTTTATATCAACATATTTAGGATAGGTTGAAGCTGCCTTTCAGTATAAACTTTTGCAATAAAATGTCATTAAAAAGACATACAATTATTTTTACAGCCGCTTATTATTATAATAATTACGCAGTATTTCACTAACAATAAAGTTATGTATGAACACATGTACGACGCCTACAAGTCCACTGGGGATTGACTCTAAGAACAATTAAGCTTTTATTTAACTTAATTACCAATTATGTCACATTGTGAATGAGATTCGTTTCGGATAAGTTGTGTTGGTTTTTCATCTCCATGAACAAAGTTGCCTTTTGAAAGAATTAAAACCTAAAAGTTTATTGAAATCAACTGTAAAGATTGCGACGTGGTCGTTAAAGATCAACTAAAGTACAATTGAAACATTAAACCATACTAAAGTAGGCGACTCAGTAAAATTTGCTGAACATCGTTGGAAATGAAATTTCGTCGATTGCCTTCAACGGCCTTGTGTTCGAGACAATAACCAATTTATTCATTTCATTTCATGATTCCTGAAAACAGCCAGCGGTGATAAAGCGCAGCAAGTCGCCTTATCTGCATTGTAACCCCAAAATAAAACATTATAAAAGACCGTCAGAATGGCATACGTAATAATGCAATTCAAAAGCTACAAAACTGTATTGTGTTGAAATGAAAGAGAAGAAAAAAAAACTCATTATTTTGCTTTGGTAACGAAACAAAGCCAAACTTTAAATTAAAAGACAAGAGAAAAATACTTTGTTGAAGTATCAGCGATTTATCGAAAGGAAAAAAAAACTCCTCGAGATGAAAATCGTGAGGTCACTTTCACTTTCATGAAGTCTTTGTTGTGACTTGTATGAATTGAAAATATGAGATAATATGCAAATCTTCTGGTTATGGTTTCAATAAGGGCGGAAAGATTTATATTTGTCAAGCTGATTTGGTTTTTAGTGAGTTCAAAGGTTGAAGTTGATCATTGATTATGCTTCGAACTTTAATAATTCCCAACTCTGTCGATACACATAAAAAAATTCTTCAGGGCGGAATTCATTCTGTTAATTTCTGAAAATCAATCATCACGTTCTCAAATCAACTCGAGGAAATAAAAATTAACGTAAAAAAGATTCTTTTTTTCATTCCTGATACAGAATGAGATTCCACTCCATTACTCTCAACGTCTTTCTTTTTTTTTTGAGCTTTTAATACTTTTGGGAAGTTCATTAAGAAAGGCTTCGTGTTACGAAGAAAAGATAATTGGATGGTTGAGAAGTAATAATGATGATGATGATGAAATTGAACTGACAATGGTGTTAAATAAAAAATATGATTAACACGACAAATGTCCTCGAAGGTTTTACTTTTTCTGATGAAGAAAGATTCGTTGTAGATCATGAAGACCGTAATCGATTGCATCTTTAAATGTCTTTGAAAGTCTTTTCTGATTTTTGTTTTACTTGATTTTTTGTTATGTTTTAATGGTTTGAAAGTAATATTTATTGAAAGGAGTAATGCGAACGATCGTAAAAAGTTACTTAACACTTCCATGCGCAATAAATAATGGAGTCAAAAGGTGTAAAACAAGAACAAAAATAAATTACTTTTAGCGATAGTTTTTTTTGCTTCTATTTTGATGGTCATTTTTTATTCTCTCTTCACACTCTAACTTATATCGCGGAAAAGCTTGGCTTGTGTTCGTTCACGTCTAATTAGTTTAGCCAATATAAAGTGACTTTAATTAAAAAGGCAATTTTTCAATATTTTATTAGTCAAGTTTTGAAATCAAAGCATGCAAAAGTTACTCATTAATTTGCATACATGCAAAGCCATATGCATAAAAGCAAACGATTGAAACGTTGTCGATAAATCAAAAGATAGAATCATTTCATTTTCAACTTAAACAAGCTCAACAAATTGATTTTATTTTATGTTTTGATGTATCCAATTACAAACCTCGAAAATCGAATCTTTAATTGTCAACATGCTGCTATTGAACACTTCGCTTTTAATTGCAACAAAAATAAAATAATAACATAAAATAAAATTGTGACCATAAATTATTTATCTTCACAGCATCAATGAGACATAAAAAAGATTTCGAAAAGGCAAAAGAGGAATCGAAACACTTTTGGAAAATTGATTTTTTATCGCGCCCATCAGATCTGATTTAAATAAATCGTGGCGAAGTCGATATAAAATAAAACAAAAACAAAGCCCAGAAGGAGACTGGAGAGCGCCGAGTGTCTGTAATACACTTTCAATAATAAATTTTAATTAATTTAATGCTTTCAAATGTATTCACATTAATGGACGTTTAAGCTTGAACATCACGCTACTTTGTGCAATGTTGATCGCCACCATCCATAGATTAATGAGCTTTAAAATTCATAAACGCATTTAAGACGCAACCCTGGACTGAAATAACAAACAAAACAGTTCAACAACATTCCTTTTATGTGTATAATGTGTTGCAATCTCGTTTGTCTTTAGTCATAGACCTTATGAAGAAATAAAAGAAACAATTCTACCAAGCTTGGATCATAACTTTATGAAAATATTTTTCTGTCATCCTTCGTTGACACATTTTCTCGTTAACTTTATTTGCTTTTAGTGTGTAATGAATTTGCGAGCTCGCAATTTACATAAAAAGAAATAAAGTCCACACAAAGTTGACATGTAACAACATGAAAAGTTCTTCGAGACTGGCGCGCTGTGCTTGACAATAAATTTAGTGACGTTTTTTTATGAGACGCTCGGACGTTCAAAACTTTTGAATAAATTCCAAAACTTACATTTGATAATATTTTACCATCCTTCGCTTTCCTTGAAGACATTAAAAGTTTAGTTGTTGCTGATCGTTTGTTAGTTTATTAACATTTTTTTGGGATGCTGCCGCGCACGTTGCTGTTATGTTGGATCGCGTTATTAACAAATCTAAACAACAAACTGGTTTCCATCGAAATAAAATATCTTAGTTTGCGCGGTTCACGGCTCGCAGATCGTGTCTCTCAGGCAAAGTGTGTGGGAGGTTAGACGCCAATCGAAATTCTTTGGCATAAACTACGAACCGTCGACAGTTTTTATATTCCAAAGCTTTGGTTTTAATTTAAATTTTTTATTCAACACGTTTAGCTTTGTCAGCTTTAGTCCCGTCGTGGACGGCGTGTGCAAGGCACCAAACATCTGTAGCGAACGCAAAACTTTATGCAGATTAAGAATAATAATTCTTCTCGCTAATCAACAAGACGGAAAATGTTTTTTTTCCTTCATCTATTCATGCATTCAGTTCTTTTTCTCTCTTATGAACAGTTCATTGAAAAAAAAAGTAAAAATAATAAATAAATTATAAAAATATTAAAACGTATTTGTTGGAATTAAAATAAATTATTTTTTTTCTTCTCACAATATCTCAAGCGCGCCACAACAAAATGCAAGAAAAGAAACAATCTCAAGTCTTAAAGATCTCGGATGAAAATTTATTCCTCCTTTTGAGTACACAATTTGCCGATTAGCAAATATTTACATTAAATTCAATTGCAAAGTTATTCTTGTTTTGCGGTTTATTTATTCATAATCAAAGGTCAACTCATTTTTGATTCATTTGATTTTTTTTTCAATTATTTACATTACCTGAAAGAATTGAAAGAAGAAAACAAAAAGTTCTTGTTATGAATCGTTAATCTGATCTTTCATCTTTCATTATTCTTTTTCCATTTTTATTGAAGGTCGTGCTATATGAAATATGAAGTTATTATTCATTTCATATGATTATAAATGAAACATGAAAAGACAAATTAATGTTGGCATAACAAATATGACATTTTGCAAAGATATTAAAAAATATCAGCAAACAAAAATCATATGCCAAACATTGAAAATCGATTCACTTTCCTGCTCCCAGTTGGAATTCGTTTCACTGAGAAATTTATTGATATTATAAATTAGATTGTTTTGTTTTGCATAATAAGAGTCGAAGCACATTTCACGCCATTTTCTTGCATGTCAAAGCATGTTTAGGTAAAGACGAAAGACCAGAAATTGGAAATTACTCGACAGAAGCTGGTTGTCGTATGACTAAGTAGGTAAGTGGTAAGCTACAGTAGTAATTTTGTTGCATTTGATCTCGAAAAACCACCTAGACATTATGAAATCACGAAAAATCGACTCGCGGTTGCATTCGATATGAATACCACGAGCTCCTGATAATGGATAATTCTAGTTTTCAAGTTGAACTTCATGAGAGTGAGATAAGTTAAAGTCAAAGTTTTACTGTGTGTGGCAATGTGAATCACGTTGAGAAGGAAAACAATTGAAACGATTTCTTGCGATCATTTCTTCCGTGCTAAATCGAGAAGAAAATGTGAAACGTGTCGAGTGCATAAATATTTATTATAAAACTAGGTGAATTCAAAGGAATGAAGGGTCAAGGTTCATAATCACATGCATTCCCATGCTTAAGAGGGAAAAAACCTTTCATTACGTCTGCAATTTATCGCCATCTGCACTCGATAACTATGATAATTTAATTATATGCTTTCGCTGATGTCGGTTTTTAAAAATATGCTTTGTCGATGATATGAATACATAAAATTGTCCATGACGCTTTCGCATCTTCATCAAACATCACAAAAAGTGTAAAAAAAATTATTCACGTTAAAGTTTTACGCTGTAAGCATAAAATATCTCTTTTCACGTATATCTTTGACTAATCTCTTTTCATTAAAATGCATGCAAGAAATCGAAAGACTTAAAAGCAAAAAAGACGAATTTAAATATTGCAAAATAAAAGTTATGTGATTAAAAGTGATTTCTACGAATGTGATGGCTTTAAGGCTCTTAAGATTTTGTTTAAATCATTCTTCTCTGATGAAAGTGCTAGCGATGAACTAGAAAAAAAGATCAGAGGTTTCAACTTACCCTTCCTGAATAGATTCACACGTGAGGATTGTTAAAGCTATTATGCAAAGAGTCAATCTATTATTCTACGATATTTAATGTTAATTTGTCAGTGAAACAAGAGAAGAATGCATTGAAATCGCGACTCAACATGCAACGAATTCATAGCAATTGGAAAGAAGTGCAAAAGAAGTGAATGCAATTGAAGGTCTCATTGTGCTGTGCTTAATCTTTAATTTGTCGAGATTGTATCCTAAGATAAGCTGCTTTTCCCATCCGCCATACGGCACCAAAGCGATCAGAATACTTATGTCTTGAAAGAGAACGAAACCTGGTTGAAGACTGACTTGTAAACGATACTATAATAACATAATGGAGTCTCTCGGACGATGTATAATGATATGTAATGTACATATAAACTGAAACGTCTTGTCTTGATGACTGCTTTTCTTATTTACTGATAATGATGACTATTATAGAAATTTTACAAGAAGAAAATTTGCAAGAGATTTATTTAAATGCTTTGATCCGAAAACATAATAATGTTAAGAAATTCTAGTCTTACTTATATGTACAGAAGAAATTATTGCGTGCAGTATTCTTTATATTGTGAAAATTGTGGGGATTGCGAGAAGTTTTAATCCAATAAAGTAATTAAATTCAGCTATAAAAGGAAAAGAACATAAAGAAAATCTTAAAGTGCTTAATTAAAGTGACCTAACCACAGTGTAAACCTAAATCAATCGTCCCACTCACAACTTGTGAATTCAATTTAAAACTGTTGCATTTCTTCTGGAGAATAAATCAATCATACCTTGAGACGTTTGACATCTTGAAACTTAAAAACGATGCTACAATGTTTTAAATGCGGAGGATTTCGAGTCCATAGTTTATTATTAATTAAAGCAATGTGAAGAAATAAACAGCGTCTACAAACTCGTATTAAATATCAAGTCCGTAAATAATTGATTTTAGAGCCGCATCGAAAATTTTGTATTGTATTTTTATGTATTTATGATCTTGCTCATTCTCTCTCTCTCTTTCTCTTTTTTATTTCGTTTTTTTCTCAAATCGACGTCCAATAAATTAACATTAAATACGCTATGATTATTACACTTTAACATCATTGTCCTTCTCATGCTTACAGAGTTTAATTAACCTAAATTCCATTTCGAATTCAAAGTTCATTATGATTTCGATCGTTTCCTTTACCCGCTTCAGGAATTTTCGCAATTATGAAAGCAAGCCATCGATGTTGAATCGTCAAATGAAGTCGTTTGTTGCTGGAGAGAAGAAAAAAGGTTTTCCAACATTTTGCGTAGCTCTTCCTGCTCAACTCGTGACACATTAATGACATTGCGATTAAAGGTAAGCGGAGCAAAAGTTTTCTTCGCTGATTTTGACTTTGATTACTGAATGTTTGTGAACTATGGGAGTTATTTACTATTAAAAAAATAGGAACTAAACTAGGAAAATATTCAACTAGGTCAAGCTTAGAACATTTATCATTGAAATTTAATCAAAAGTCAAGAAAAGCGTATAAAAGTGTGAAGTGAAAAGCTCTCACTAAAGTATTACTTAGTCACACATGTCCAACAACTGGCTTCTTGTGTTGAAACTTTGACAGAAATGGCGTGACTGATGATTATGATGTGATATCTTCGAAGACTTTTCATTTAACAACTTCGCAATAATTTTCTTGAGTTAAATAGGTCAGAACATTGAAAAAGTATTAAAGAACAACAAGTAGCGTTTCTATCTAAACTACATAATAATCCCGCTTGGAAACAAAAATTAATTGCGACACGATGTTGTTCACAAAGGCAATAAATTCTACTTCTGAAGGATTTTGTTTTTTATTTTATTTTTCGTGTTCTTTTAAATACCTTTGCAAGTGAATGAAGAATCAAAGTGAGAGAGAACGGTGCAACATGGTCATGTCATTGTAAAAGAAAATTATTTTCATGTTTTTTGTGTCTTATTCTGTTAACCTAGAGAATTCATAGGAAGCTCATTATTTTTCTGAAAAGAAACAATGAAACGAAATTCTTAAAATTGTGTGTTTGCCCTTTACTTCGTCCATGTTTAGCGTTCCTTTCGGCAATGAAGTGGATAAGCATAAGTAACGAGAAGTGAATTCAAATAACTGAACTTAATTTCCTTTAAGGAAAGAAAACTTATTTCCATTGAATGAGCAATAAATTTAGCAATTCTGGGGTGAGAAGTTGATTTGTGCAAAGCTTAATAAATGGGTCAAGGAAACGACTGCTTACTCAACGTTAATTCTTTAAAGCGCAGATATATTTGCATAAAGCATAGCAATTATTTACACACTACTTAAAGCACATGCAGAGCTCAACGATTTTGTCTACAATGTACAAAGTAAACAAGGAAAAAGGTAAAATAATTATTAAAGGAAGACGACACTCGTTGTTTTGTTGAATAAAGAAAATCTGAAAAGCCAAACATTCATTTCATTTCGGTCGTTTACCCATGCCCTGATTATTGTTGTTTATCGCTGATCTTCATTCACACTGTGGCTTTTAAGGCGTTTATGTACATTTCTATGGTGATTTAAGGTTCGTGCAACAAATCGTTTAAACGATTTTTAAGACTTCACTACAAACTACAAAGACGCCACGTTGTGTTTCAAACTTCTCTTTTACTTTATTGTTGAAGACTTCACCTGAGCATTTAATGAAACATTTGCTGCTTCTTTCTTACAATAAATTACATATCAACAACTCAACTCACTATTTAAGTTCAAAGCCCCAATATATTGAGAGAAATATATTTATTTAAAATTTTCTGCAATGGATTTACAATTCATGCCTCGTACGATACTGAAACGCGTATGAATTTTTAATTTCAAAATGAACATTACCGGAACCAGGCAATTGTGAAACAACTTGTAACTGTTCTACGTAAATATCCTTTGTTTTATATTAGTTAAATAGTCTTGAGACTTCATTCACTCGGTTTATCTATTATTCAGATAAATATTGAATTGAAAACATAAGATATGAGTCAATCAACGAATTCCACATCCACATTACTTTTAAGTGTGTAATAAGCGACGAAAAGCTGTCGATATTGGGAATGCTTTCAATTTGATCATTAACCATGTGCTGATGTTTGATGGAGGTCAATCACGAGATAAGAGAAAAGCTGATTAATTTCCTTCTTAAGCAGTAAATTTATGTGAATTAGAGTGACTGACTTAACTATGATGTCTATTCATTTGTATTCAAAGAAACTTTTCAACATGAAACTCTCTCGACTTAGCTCTCAATAAACTGAACAAAGAGATTATAAATAAAAGTTGACACAAATAATCAAAGACGAAATGAGATCATTTTCCTTTACCGGATAGGACAGTACATGCATATCTTATTTTAAATTCAACAAAAGTTAGCCTTACATTGCACACTTCATTCAATCAGAGCGATTTAGAAAGATCGCGACGTTAATATTGCTTCACATGACAGCGCAAACAGTGAAGTCAACAAGAGGCGAGAGAAACAAACGAGCGTATCGCTGATTAACATTTCAAATAAACAATTTAAAATACCACATCGCACATATTTGTGTTGGACTTTTCTTTCCATTATTATCTCTCTATCTCTCTCTCTTTCGCTTTTTTCGACTTTAAAGCATTAAAAGCATTATTTTATTTTAATTTGACAGTCCTAACCCCGCGCTTTTATGTAGAAATGTAATGTTTTAATTTATTTATTTTACCATTTGCACATTTCGCTTGTTGTTTTGTGCTTCACTGAATCATTCGGTGCCGTACAAGAAATTCATAATGAAACAATTGAAATGGACATCTGTAAGTAAAGTTCCAATTTCAGTGGAACGGCAAGTTGAGAACTGTTTGAAAATTTACATATGAGACTTTAGATTAAGAAAAATATGTGAATGTTAAATGTATTAGACGCTTATGGGGCGCAATAATATAAGCAAGGCGCCATTTTTTCAATTAACCACGTTTTAAGTTAAGAAATAAAAAAAAACTTTAAATCGATAGTCAAAAACAGAATAAAAAATAATAAACTGCAACTGCTTTATTCATTGATGTAAACGCATTTCGCTCCCAAGCAGAAAAAAATAAAAATTAACAAGTGGGCAGATGAAGTTTCATTTGAATTAAATAGCATTAAGTATACAAATGCTGCCAACTAGTCGCATTGTTCAATTTTAAAAAGTTCAACTATTTACAAGAAATGCTTGAAGTTCTATTTTTGGATGAATAAGCAGAAATATTTACAGATGACTTCGAATCTCTTATTATGGGTCGAGTACGCGGAGCGGTAGATAAGACAGTTCAATGGAATGGAAGTTCGACTTAAGTAACACATTGCCGATGGTCAGTACTTAGTAATCAAATCTGTTGTTTAACTTTATATGCCATTATCTAAGGTTCACGACACTGATGTTCAAACTATTCATTATTAGTTCCTTCATTCCCTTTGGAAGTTAATCGGTGTTTGGGAATGTAGAACGAGAGATCAAGAAGATCGCAGATTGAAACGTTTGTGAAAATCTTTGTTGAGAAGAACATCGATTTGATAAATTTATAAAGATTTATAAAGCGTTTACATGTTTGCATGCTGCTGTGATTATCTCGTAAGATTTTAAATGCTAACGTCTTGAAATCGACAATTCTTTTATGATCTTCCTAAATCCACTGTTTGAAATTAAATTGCTTCTAGTGTACAATCACCCTTAATGTAAATTCCCGAACAGTTAAATTACAAAGTAAAAATGCAAACAGGGAAAATAAGATGCTAACTTAAGTGCATTATAAATGATGTTATGATCGCGAGATGGCGAAAATAAATAGGAAGGTAAGAAAAAGATTTTCATAATCTTGTTATTGCTATTTATCTATCCACACGGGCCCTAATGTTCTTTCCACCATTTAATGCTTGTGAAAATTCTGCAAATGTTCTCTATGATTTTCTTTATTAAGTATATTTGTTCATTCTCCTTCTGAGCAGATATATTTTTGTGCTCGACTCTCCATCGCCGTACTAATATCATGTTCTGCATAAAGTCGAGATAATAATTCTTCTATATAAAAATAAAAAATTATTCATCGAAGTCGTTGTTGGAGATAATGTTGCAAGTTGCAAGGAAATGAAAGAGAATTGTGCACATTATTTCTTATTCTTGATTGTGAGAATTATCATAAACTATAAAGCACAAAAACCAAATCAAGAATGCGGAGAGTTTACAGTAGAAATTCAATGAAAAAAAAAGTTATGTCGCACATTCATAAGCGAAGTTTTCAGTTTAATTTTGTTAAATGCAACAAATTGAACTTTTTAAATGGTAAGCTGAGTGTGTTTATTATGTAAATCATTTTAAAGGATGACTTAAATTACAAAGAAAAATGTTTAAAATATCCCATTACCGATCTTCAGAACAATTGTTAAAAGAGAATCAACAAAAACTGACAAAGAAACAAGAAAGTTTAATCAGACATTATGAATCAGAATGTTTTGTGCAACTTTGTTGCATTGAATATTTGCTTGCCCAAGACAAGCAATTAACTTCTTTTTTCCTTCCAGAAGATTTAAATGAAAGACAATTTGAATAATTTCTCAAATTTCCTGAACAACGTCTCTCCTGTCTTCTTGCTTTTAAATTTTAAAGTTAAAACCACTCGATAT